TTGCCCCAGGCCTTAAATGCTACCAACCAAATTTACGTCAATTTCAAAAGTTTTAAGTACTATACATCAGGCCACTCATCAATAACAAAATATCAGTAACTTTTAGATATTTCTTTATATCAGTCTCTGAATTGCCAGGAGATGTTCCGTAAGATTTTTGTGAACGTGAAATTGTCGATAAACAAGATAACATCGCCATAACACAAATTAACACGACATTTCAATGATAAGATCAGGATATTTTCAACCACGTATTTGAGTTTAACTAAACCAAAATATCTGTGGTTCGGCCTATTTTCTGGCAAAATTTACGTAATGACTTCTTTCGGTCGTGGTTTTCTGGGCGGTATTTGATCAACATAAATCAACATTTTTAAAAAACAAATTTTGCAAAATTCCCGTGTGTATTTTGTGGTCGCGATAGTAACTTGGTTTTTGTTATGCTCTTGAATGTAACAGGTTTCAAGATTACGTGCGACTCAATTTTATATATCTATTCACCGAGGCAGCTATTTCGGGTCAAATCAAGGATTTGTTATAAAGGTCACTTTTATTTTGAATCTCCAGAACCACAGAAGCGATTAATACCAGTGTACACTACTCTAATATTTTCAATTTCACATGAAGTGGAAATTCCTTCACTGAAACTTTGGTCAAATTTGTCAAGTTATGAATGTGAAATACAATTTAAAAACAGTCAACTGAGTAAACCATGATTAAGTTATTGATTATTGTTCGTGATTCACGAGTTGTATCGCACGAAAGGTAACTATTCTCAATGTTTTTGTTACGAATATTCGAAAAACATTATCCTCAAACGATAATCCATAATTCTTTACTGGACTTAATCCGATATACCATGGGGTTGAGGTTTTTAATCCGGGTACTGATTAGAACGAAGAAGACAGATTGCGGCTACTGGGATTCCAATGATGTTCATTGACTTATAAGTTTGCGGTATTTCGGTAGGAAACCACTTCACCGCAAAGACGTTATTGTCGGGCTTACAACTAGTCAGTAAAAGTTCTTGGGTAGGGTTGGCCTACTGTATGGTATCTAACGGGCAAAGTCTATTGCCGATTTTTTCCAAAGATGAAATCAGCTACACTTTATCATCTTCAATCCAGAAACCATTAATTGTCCTAAATTAATCATTTCAGATATTCAATGTTGCGAATGTCAAGAAATATTTTCGTATCCATGATATATATTATGTACCGGTATATCTACACCATTTAATTTTACATTTCCTCTGTTACGGCTATTTCTCCATTATCAGAATGCTAATTCAGAAAATCGTTAAAATACCTAGACGATTTTAATAAGCACAATTACTTTTCAAGAGCTTATCGCACTGTGCTTGAGTAACAAAGTACCTCGTTGAGTACCTCCTTCGAAAGTTGAGAAATTTAGTACTGTCCGTGTAACATCTGAGACTAAACATTACATCTTATCAGTGTTTTACACGTGGGAAAGCACTAATTTGTGTCACATATGGAAGGTGAATTAGTTTATTTTGACTTTTGTGGGACATATTCAAGCAGATTGGCCCAATTATAAGCTTCATTGTATATGGACCAGAAAAGACCATTGTGTATATGTACAGTTTTTGAGGTTATCTTATCCAATAAAATTTGAACCAAATAAATTCGAATAAGATCTTCGTTTTTATGCGATTGTCTGAGTGTTCACTCTCAAGTTTATTGATGGGCAATCTTAATTCATATATGTCCCAGACTTGTGTCTATAATTTTACCAAACGATATACTGCGGTAAAAATATTCTAAGTGATGAGAATGAGGTTATTGTCGAATAATAAGGACGTGAAGAATGAAATGTGCTTCCAGTCATATACGATTAGGCATTTTCTCCATTACATTATACACATGAAATACAGGCATCTCTGCGACCTTCATGATTTTATATTGGTCGCAACAACACGTATTGGAATTGAAACTTGGCCACAACCATATTATAGATGGTATGAAAAGAATGGTAGCCATGACTCCAAGGTAGTTGTAAAACAATATCATGACAAATTGAAACAACAATTTTGGTATTTGACTATTAGGGCTCACAAAAGGCCACGCAGACGGCTCTTGTCACGTCGACGACAAGTTGATTTTGTCTCGAGTTTTTATGTTTTCAAAACTCATTAAATCGACGACAAGTTATCAACAGGTGCGAAACATCGTTTCTTTTTGCGCCAACTTTCCCACATTCCTTTACTAATACCTTCATTCACCTTTCATTGACTTGACAGTTAACACCATCATTATCAATTTTTTCGAAGAAAATAAAAGCGGTATCTGTACATCTGCGTCTTTTCCGTCAATGGAATGGATTTATAGTGCATTGTTGAGTATGTATACGGTCACCACTCCCATTTTCTTTGGAAATTTGGTTCATATCGGTGACGAATAGGCTTATTTTGATAAATGTGATTTAAATCCAACCACAGGCTTGAATAAACGAATCTGATAGCAGGCAGACAACGCCTGAATTGTAAACAAAACTGAAAAAATTTACTGATATTCTTGAGTAATGGTAGGTTGGTATTTTCACTACACTATTATTTTTTCATGGCTAATTTTGGAACATATGTTATATAAACTGCTTCACGGGCGCCGTTTGTGTTCGGCTCTGTATATTACAACGATTCCATGAGAAAATTCCCGCTTATGCTAATCATTTAAAAATTCCTAGTTTGTTACAGTTGAATGCCCTTTCAAGTAAATTAGCTCATATTTAACTACAACATATACCAATAAATTTATGTTTGGATTTGTACCCCGTGATCTCGGTAAGAATTTGGAAGTTGGATCTTTGATGATATTTTGGAATTTGGCACATCGTGTTGTTGATTTTTTCAGCTTCGTACAGTTTTCAGAAATGAAACCGTTTCCGCTAATTAGTCTTGAATAGGCGCCCTTAGTCCTGATCGATGATAAACTGCGAGGATGCTGCACTGTTTGTGACTACGGCTCCTCCAATGAGTTTTATGTTCAATCATGCGTAAACGTCGACGCAGAGGACGACAACATATCCAAGAAATAAACTTTTTATCGACTGAAAATATGGATAGCGGGTTTCTGAATTTGAAAAGGTAAATGTTTGCACTGTATAAGAAGTTCGTCTTTGTGTCTGCTTTGGATTGAGCCGTGGTCTTGTTTGGTTCAGGTAGGAAAAATTACCATAAGGGACAACCAAATATTTGCCAGGTGTGCATATCTATGATGGACATATTTTCACGTATATTAGGCCGGACTAATCGATTTTAAATTAAACTTATCATTTGTACACCCACGTGTGAGCAAACACCTATATTAAACAACAGGTGTCACAACTAAATGCTATGGTAAATTATTTGCTGGCTATTAAAATGAATGGCATTCTCCGCAGATATTTGTGTACGTGCCTCTGTAAATACAGTCTGCTCCGGGATGTATAGATTGTGTGAATTTGCTTAAAACATGTTTAGTGCAGGCATGTAACAATGTAAGGTCCCCAATATTTATCATAGTCAAAAAAATTCTGCTACAAACCGTGGACCTATTTGTCAAAGTGCCATTATAGGCTAAAGATAAAGCTACCGCAAAGATCCGGATCTTGTTCAGCATTCACTGATAGGACAACTACATTCGTGGTTATATTTGTAATTGTTTACATTCCAAACGTTTCAAGAATGCAAATATGTAATTTCATTAGCTAGTGAGTCGTTATTTACCAAAATCAGTGCGATTCATACCCGCCAATAACGATTATCGCAATCCGTCCTCAATTTCATGTATGTATGTAGTATGGCATTGCTGATTCCTCAGTAGTGAGCTTGCTGGCGTTCCTTTTAGCTGTGAACATTCACGGTACTATTGCTTGTTAGTCAATAGGCTACATCACACATGCGTGATAATACGAATTTGATAATTATCGGTGACCCATAATGCAATTGTGCAAAAATTATGGGATTATCGTCTCAGACGAACGTGCAGATCCATAGGGTCAAGTTTGCGAGTGAATGGAGAAAATCCCAAAGTAAATAGCCTACTTATCCCACACGAGGCTTATTATCGTCGGCTAACGAAATTTTGGTAAGATGCCAAGATTTTTCAGGTTGGGTTTTTGTGCGGCTAACCACGTCCATAACCTACCTCGCATCGGGCCTTCTACAGCTAGGGCATATGAGAGTTCTAGCCCAGCTGTCATTTTTGGAAAAAGTGAGGGGTTATACATTCTTCTTTTCGGCTTAATCTCACAGAGGTGGCCACCGGCATCTATGACTTTCGTTTTGAATGATAATTTTATTTACTTTTTCGTGGTTGGTTGACTCCATTGTTAGAATTGGGGGTTACGTCACATTTTATATGGTATTTGTTATCATTTCGTTCATCTTGAGATGAGGGATTAGCAAAATCCGATAAGACGGAGATTTAAGTCACTTAATATAAGAATGAGCTAGGCTAACTTTTTTGAAGTATTTACATCAAGTCATCAACATAACTGATTTTCTCGCGTACATTTTTCAATATTTAGGTATTTCTTTATCTTATTATCGTTCCAATAAACGCATTTTTGTACACTTGTTTGCTACTCGAAAACGCAGGCTGCAATTTCATTGGTTGCGTTTGAAATTGCCAGCCAACGGATGAGGTTAATCTTGCTTTGAGATCTTTCGTAACAATCCAAATAACGGTTCTGTAAAAGGAAAGCTGTTAAAATTCTTTCCAAGACCATTTATGAAATAACATCATGACCCTGGCCGTATGTTGGATTTTGACTGCCCGTGGTCGCTATTGTCGGTCTGTGGCCTATTTCACGGTTGTGCACTTTGACAAAAGCAAAGAGATAGCGTTGAATTTCCGAAATTACAAGTTGCAAGTTTTCAGTGTATTTTTGTCTCGCCCACGAAACAATTTTTTGGTTTGTATGTCTATTCTAAAAAAATTGTAATGGTTAGTTAAATGTAAAGGTGAATTATAATAAAGTTTCCTTTTACTTTACAGGGATCTTCGGTTCAACCATATTCGAGACATCACGCCTGATGCATTCCAAAATTTAAAGAATTTACACACTTTGTAAGTCGTTTTTTTTATCTAATTGTTATTCTATGCTTAGACATGGGTAAAGCCCACTTTCTACATATGATTGGTCATTTATAACCTACCGACGGGTTAAATATTCAGAATCTCCCAATAAACAATGTCAGCGACTGTCACACTTGAAAAATTTCGCTAATGGATATTCAATATTGTGACTTTGGCGCCATGTCGCACATAAACAATACCCATAACGGCATCGGACGTGGAGGGTCTAGTTTAACAAGACCATAGTTTAACGCGGTCCAACGTTAGTAACGTTATGCTTCGTGAAAAACGTAGCCAACCTGGTAGACAGCGACCAGTAGCAGTCAAACATATAAAACAAATATTGCGGTACAAGGTGTCTCGCTGTGAATACATTAAGATTCCCAATGGTACACCTAGTGATTTTAATCAAGTGGTACTTGAGATGCTTTGTTTTTACAAAGCTCAATGTCGATTTAATACGATCAATACGACTGGCAACTTTGATCGATATTTAAATTTTTTTAGGAATTGAAGAGTTGTTGTCGGACGCTTTTTGATCACACTATGAATAGGGTTAAAGTCGAATACACTGTTAATGTGACAGTCACTGACAGCCCAAGATGTCCGCTACGTAAGGGGCCATTCAATGACGATTGGGACCAAATGTCCATGCATACTCATTATATGTCGATCCTTGCTCAAAATGTACTCTTAATTAAAGAAAGGATGTATTACTCCATAATGGTTTTCGTTCAGATACCAAATGATAATTTGATCAAAATGCTATACGCGACCCACCTACGGTCGTGCAAACGATATTTTTGTCAATTTTTACTCGGTGAATTGGGAATATCTGTAAAAAAAAAAATTTACTTTCGTTGAATCCACTATCAAATACTATTAAATTCCGGATTTTAATTTTGAATTGATCTTAATTTTGTACCAAAAGTCGTATCCCTCGATATTTGGCTTTTAGGGCGTAAAAATGCGTATTTGCATGTCGTGACGTTTGTGTAGACCAAAGTAAATCTCACAACATGATATAAATCATTACACTTGTTTCAAAGATGGGCATATGTTAAAGTTTATATTTAAATCGACCTTTTATCTACTAACCATACTCGAATGTATGTGCATCGGGAATCAAAACAATTAAAGAAATTAAATACACTCTTTATTCTATGCTGGCGCCATAGAAATACTAGAAAGGAAACCATGTTAATTTGACTACTATTTTGTTAATTGCTTAAACCGTACTATTTGCTTAAGTGGTAGCTAGACAATGACGTCACAAACAATTAAATTAGCGGGAGTAGATTGATCTTTTTATTGGTTGAAAAGTTTTGCGTTTTACTTATATTGGTGTGAATTTCAGAAACATCGTTTCGTTATTTCCAATTTGAGTCTATTTTAACTAAAATTCTTCGGGCATGCTTTGTAGTATGCTCCATGTTTAACACTTAAGTGTTACCGTTACCCTCCATTTCAAATTACAGAAGTTCATCAATCTTTATAATCGGAATCTTTGCGTTAAATTTTTGACAAATTTACCCAATAACTTGACACTATCTACTCTGGTCTACAAGTTTTCTTTCAAATTTTACCGGCGCTTTGACAGTTTTGTCAATCCATTCTACTTAACTATTGAGAGGTGATGATAAGACACCGACCCTATCAAAGGAACTTTAGTACAATAATGCAATCTTTCAACAAAAATTTGTTTTTGTGAAGCGCATTTAATAGGCAGAATTAAGTACCGGTAGAACATTTTTCTCTTGCGTGACCCACGAATATTCAATCTGGATTATACCTAAGCCCAAATATCATTATAAAGTCTCTGAAATCAGTAATTTTAATATGCCAAAAGACTCGAAAGGAACGTTATTAGCCTTTCGACCATTTATTCAGAAAATATACTAGAGTTTGCCCCCGGGTTGGCAATCATCCACGCCTGAGACAAGTCAAAGTATGGCTTTAGAATTGAGTATGACTCAAGTTAAGTAGTGCCAATATCCTTGATGTATAAAGTCGATTCTCCACATTCAAGCAAAGAAGTCAAAGGTCAAAGTTATTACACCGATGAAACACGAAGAAGTCTGCCTGAGTCATTCTAGATTTGAAAAAAGTTTCAAGACTCAAGTTAATCCAAAAACCATCACTTATCACTTGTAAACTGCGGTAGACTTATATCTTCGTGGTCAAGGTAATATGAGTTTCCCGATGAAATACAAGCGTTTAAAATTCCGAGAGTTTCCGCGGACGGAATTAGTTTTAGTAATATCACTAATATACAAACAATTTGTATTTCAACATTTCTTCAAAAAGTCTCAAATTTCAAAATGTTATAATGGATTTTGCCACTAAAAGTACATTTTAATTGTTTGGGTTCATTACCATAAAAGCAAGTTAAAATGTAGCTTCGAATACTTTTGGTTAAGAATGACAGATGAAAGCTTATTATCGGACTAATGGGTAATTTTGGGTTGACGAGCATCCGCTTCTAACCAAAATTGCGTGTTATCGGTAAAATTACAATGCAACGCGTGAAAAAGCTTTTTCATTGAAGGCCTATGTAGAGTAAGTAAAATATATCAATTTCGGGTTTTCCGAAATTGTAGATTTATTATCAGTTTATCACTTTTACTACTAAATTTATTTATTAACATGAATACAAAATCGTTTTACATTATTTCAACAGGTTTAGAGAAACAAGCGCAAACCTGATTATTCTGAATTTAGATTTTAGTTTTGGGATTCACAATTTGTAGCATTAATTTACGGGATTGAAAATGGTCTTTAGCAGATAATAACACATGGGTATATATTTTTGCTATAATGTCGAATAGTCGCAACTAAAAATTGCCTCGCCCACTGGGTTAACTATCCACATTAGCTCAGGTACAGACACCAGTGCAAAACGACCATTTTGCCACGCCTCTCATGCTTTTGACCAATTAGAATTTATGAGTGGTATTAAATCAATTGTACCGGTTTTGGGGTGAAATATTATCCAGGGCGCCGCAAAGGCGCCGCGTAACCCCATTTTATTTCTTTAAATTAATGCTGCAGTTGATCGTATTCTAGTTTGCAGAAAATGCCTCATTGTAGTTTTATACAAGTTACCTACTGGCGAACTTTCCCAACATGATAATGGACGAGGTTTTCAGCCGCTATTGGGTTTGGTGTCGTTTGATAACGGTCAAAAAAGAGTTAACAAACATTAGAGTTGTACCGTGCTGGAATTTAAACTTTGACCTCTGGCAAATTGTTACCATTCTCGTGACTTATTCAGTCTTGTTTAAATATAAAACACGCCTTCGCCATTGAGAAAGTGGTTTTAGTTTCTGAGGGCCCTTATGTTCCCAATGGCCCGCGAAGACCCGAACCATGGCGCGTAATTCAGTACCTTCCCACGAGCGCCCTTGCAAAAATGTGGGTAATATACCCTAGTCGGATTTCGACTTTCTGTTTGCGTATAACACCAAAACTGAATTCAGCTGTATTAATACTGTTTATTCAATGACACCCGATTCCGTGGCAGCTTGCCAGTATTTCACGACATTTGAGACATGTCATGCTTTCCTAAAATAGCGCCATCGCTATTTCAAGCCACCAAAGTCGCAAATAAAATCAGATATGTGTTGTCTGCCGGAATAATCGGTTTCCTCGCCGGAAAAGGCTAGTTAAAAGGCTAGTTCATATCATCCCATCCCATACACGACCTTAGATAAATCTTCCGAAATTTGGCTGTAATAACTATAACAAGTGCATAACCCGGAATTATATTTGTTATTCATATCCGGGGTCAAAGAACGCCGTACAGAAAGTTTAATTGCCTATTTTACAGCATGATTGACTAATAAAACGGTCACCTAATGCAATAGATAACTTGATAAAATTTTGCCAACTCGGAGTTATAAGATCGCCCCTCAAATGACATATTTTTTTGACAAATTAGCAATTTCTGTTGAAATTATATTACGGCCCAAAGCCTATATTAGCATCATCCTAAGCTCAGTACGTGACAATACTTGCCCGACGCCGGTTAGTTTTTAGCATGATAATTAGGAATTATGTTCTTCGAATTTTTCAACAAAATCAACAAGACCACCAGAAGTTGGCACAACAATCAAGAAAAAACAATTAGTCAAAATTCAAAACGAAAATCTGTTTTAAGTTGAAACGATCCATCTACGGTAAAGTAACAAAGATTAGCGTCCTCAAAACATTACAATATCGTGTTTCAGTAGTCTAGACACCTTAAAACTTAACGTCAATGTACTGTGATATACTCAAAAAGTTGATCTTCTTTCACAAATTGCTGACTCAAGTATAAGATGATAAGGTGTAATTTATCTCTATAAGAGGCGCATTATCTTAATTGAAAAAGGTTTTATTTTTATAGCCCTGAGTCTCTTTCCAACCCATATCACCTTTTAGAAGATGACCCGTAATGATATCTCTCTTAAACGTGTATGCCCCATTCATAAAACAACGTAATATCTACACCCCATGTTTGACAAGATGGAAAATAAGATACTACCGGGTCTGTGGTCAACCAAATTAATACCACCTGACACAATGGCTTTTGTTGGATTGGCGCCAATGTAACTATCGTTTAGATTCAGATTGATGCCAAAGGGCGAAGTTCGCAATTTAATGCTAAATTGCTCCGTAATGAAGTCTGGTGATCTGCCGCAGATAAGAATGAAATGAAGTCATTTTAGAGAACGGACTTAAGATTTTTTTTCTTGGTACTTAAAATACTGCTGTTGATATGGAAGCTATATGGCTCAAAAAATGGCGATTAAAAAATGTTGATTCACTGTCATCTATACAAAGCAGCATGAACTCTCAGGATGCAAAAAAAAAAATGCAATCAAAAGCATTTGTAAAAAGTTGTGCGCGCTATCATTTTAGTGACGTTATGTCTTCCAGCCAGCCATATGTGTCCATTTGTCCAGAAAATGTCTAAATTATAATTGCTGTACAGTATATTCAGTTCTTTATATTGTAATGAGGTTATTCCATCATTCTCATGACTAAATGTTGCACCAATAGTACATAAAATACAAGAAAATGATAATTACCCAGTTTTGCTGGGGTAGGGAAGCTGTGGTGAACCAAATCTGGTTATCGCGCAGCGACATCCAAAGTTCTAATATCTAATTTTAAAAAATCGGGATTTTACAGTTTCGAGACTGTCGTTATGGCCGGTGAGCAATTGTGACCTATTATCCAATCAACATCGCTTACTAGATATAGATGATTACTAGAGAATATATTGAAAATCCATACTAGCAATGAATAGGCGGGGAACTCCCCTATTAAAATGGCCATATGCAAAAATCCACATATAAAAAATCTTTGCCTAAACTCCCTCGTTCCGCATAGGAAATGTTAAAACCCAAAACTTTTTATTCACTTCTGAACCACATCCGCAATTATTATAAAATTCGAAGAAATACAGCGGATTAGAACACTGAAAAACATTGACTAAGACCACAATCTGGACCGCAATAGCATAGCATATCAGTGCGCTGTAACCTCAAAGGATGTTAGCGGTAGAGGCTTGTCATCGCTTCTCGTGAAGTCACATTTAAATGTGGTCTGTATGGCATCAGATACATCCCAGATATATATTAAGTTGTTATGGCTCTTAGATACAAGTTAAATTTACCCACGACATCTTAGTCTAAGAATTAAAACGAATAGTTCTTTTACATTGCCGAGTTAGACAGGACTAAAACATCGATGTTAGCGGTACGATGAAATGGCCTGTTTCTACTGATGAGTGATCTCTCAAAGATTACGTCACTGATTTAAAACTTTTTCCTGTTTCTGGAATTCGTCAAAGAAGTGAAATATAAATTGATCAGTGAACGTCGAACTTTCCGAGAAGTGTCAAAAGATTTTACACGTGATTTCTAATCTTTTCAAAAAGTTCACTACTTGAGTAGATGAGAAACCGGCTGATTTTATGATTACATGAGCGCCATAGCCTGTTCTTCACGCTGTCGCGCCAGGCCTAGTCAAGTAGGCGTCCCGTGATATTTCAGGTTCTAACTGCAGTTCAACCACCTCAACCGGTGCGTTATAAATATGTTGGAACGAACAAGAAATATTTCGAACAGCTCGAAGCAAAATGGGATTTGCGTCATAATACAGATCAGGCTGATATATCATAGACCACGAAAGTCTTCTGTGAACCCCTGAGCAATATCTAAATGTCCAAATAATTGTAATTGAAACAGTCCAACAATTGGTTGGATGGAGTATACACGCGAATTATTCCATGGAATGGGTTTTGATAATAATCGGGTTAATCTAACGGTATATTGTAATTACACATACATTGGTGATTGGATTGCCGCTTTCCAGCTGCTTTTCTGCGTGTTGTTCTAGAATTTAGAAGATAATTATGACAATAAAATAAGTAATATTTACTTGCGAGCCAATTCAACTATTTCCCCTCAGTGTATCGCTGAATGCCGTAATCGGGTATTTGAACATCTCCCGTTCTGACACCGCCCGCTTGATTTCTATAGTCTTTTGTTACAAAGTAGCGGCTTTTTGCAAGCTATGGATGGCAAAGGTAATCTTATAGCAAAAACGATCGCTATAATACTATTGAGCTTTTCATAAGTTTTTATATATTTTATATATAATTTATATTTTCAGGTTAATGAACAACAATCAGATAAGACGTGTCCCAGCAAATGCATTCAAAGACATGCCTGAATTAAAACATTTGTGAGTATAAAATACTTTTAAACAAAATGTAAAATTAGCATGAACTTCACCCTGGTGTGTTTTGAAATACTTTTAAACAAAATGTAAAACTAACATGAACTTCGCCCTGGTGTGTTTTGAACTCATTTGATATCGTTATTTATTTAGTAATTATTAGGAAAGATGGCATTCACAGACAATGAATCTTTTGTAAAACAATTTATGCATTGTTTGTTTTTATCTATACAAATGATGACATAAAAGGCCATTGTTTCACAAGGTCATTACATTGATATACGAAATGGATTTTCTTCCGTTTTTGAGTGTATTGAGGCAGATGTTAATAATAAACCACACAATCTAAGAGGTTATTGCATGATTGTCATATGTTCAATGGCCATCCCATTTCCCCTGTTAGGGTGGGTTTAATTTGAAAAGGTACAATATTACACAGTCATTAGATCGTACAGTTGCTTTTAAACTGGTCCACTGGAGGAAACGCTTTGGGCACTGTTAAAACCAGGGGCGTGGCTAGGGGGTGGGGATTAGGGGTAGCCTAAATTGGGTAGGTAATGGCCAAACCGAAAGAGTTTGGTTCTTCCATAGTATCTTCCTACATATCATTTGCTGCGTGTGTAGAGGATTTTTCGGAGTGAGGGCGCATGAGAGCAATCACTAGTTGAAAGGTCAGGAATCAGGATATCTGTTATTAATAGTCGACGATTGGGCAATTTGAAAAAGGTTATGCAAGAATTGACCCAGCTGACGTCTGGCAAAGGGTTAAATTTCAATGTGAAATATGTTATTTTGTAATTGAAATCCTTGCTATTTTTCGGAATTGAAATATTTGAAGAAATGCAATTTTCATTTTTAGATATTTATACAAAAACAGAGTCGATGAGATTGACACAAATGCCTTCAGTGGACTAAACTCTCTTGAACAGCTGTGAGTTTTATTATATTTCATGAATACGCTCCAAGTTTAAATTTCAATTAAAATCATATTAATCAAGCATAAGTCATGGATATATCATATATAAATGGTATACTATCCAACACTGATGCTTGACTTTGCATGATATGACGTTGAAATTCAAACTTGCTTTTTTTGGTGTTTTATTCATTTTGGGGTCAAAAAATCAAAATTTGGCATATTTTGACAAAAACAAATGCTTCGCTTATGCTCAGAAGCTCATGATTACGGTGATTTAGGACTAAATTGCATGTACTTATTATACATTATATACAGAGTGTCAATAACTTTCCTATTAGAATATGCTACCATTTGTGGTAAATGTTAACTCATTGTGAAATTTATATTGTATTCCATTCGAGAACCAACGTCAGAAAATATAGGAATATATATCATTTCTAAACAAAATATTTGCCAAAATTTAAACATTGCCACGAAATGTACATTTTCCCACAAAATTTGATACATGTGTGGAAAAAAATATGTTTTCACCCGAATTCAAAGCATGTATTTTTGGTTTTAAATGTTTTCAAAATACTACAAATATTTTTAGACATAAAAGTATTTCAAATATTATATTTGTTCAACCATGGTCCGAAGATATATCACACTTTTTGGACATGATTTACCTTTTTATTATACCTGTTTAAGCATGATTTGTTTTTATAGAACATGTTTCAAATACATATGATGGATGGTTTAGTAATAGTATTATTAAAAATGTTAACCCTAAAGTCACTAGTCATTTATTAACCCATTGACTACTAATTGGGTTTCAGATATCTCTATAACAACGATATTTCGACATTGGAAGTCGGCACGTTGTCAAATCTTCCTAACCTAGAAAGATTGTGAGTAGTAGATTGAATGTAATATTAACTGAAATTTGTTTAGAGTAATCCATATTTATGCATTATCAGGGCCATAGCCTGACCACTTGGCTTGTCACCAGGTCTATTGGTTACTAATCTTACCCAATTTGTGTGTTAGTCATCACTTTAATCAAAATTTCAAATCCATTTGTACAATTTTAAACATTAGTTGACATAAAAAAAACTAAAAATTTGTTTCAAGTGTGAACCACACAAATAGAGCTGAATTTTTCATAATAATGTAAGGCTTCTAAAATTTAGAATATACTGATTTATATTATTTAGAGAACTTTGGAAATACTTATTCTCCAATGCACAAGAAAAATTTGATGTCTATATTTATCAAATACCCTCAATGGTGTATTCTGGTTATGGTTCTGATATATTTTTGTACTATATTGCATGGTGAATGTTGCTTGGGTGTTTTGTTGTGTTTTTTCAAAGTGTATTGAATTTTCATATTCTTGTATAAGCTTTTTTATTCCTTATCAAAAATTCACAAACCCTTTTTTAATGAAAGACTCACAACCTGGTTTGAACAAAATTACATCAAAATCAAACTCGATTTTATATGGACAGAGAGTTACTGGAATTTTCACTTTATTATCGACACCTAAAAATTTAGTCGATCAGTCAGTCATATTTGAATGCTATTTTTTCATTCCATGGCTTTCCACAATTTCTTTTGCTGTCTGTAAACATACACACCTTATATTAGATATCCATGGTATGTTTTCGTAGGGTTAGGTAAAACCATAGTATGTGTGGGTGTAATACCACATTTTATCTGAAAAGTTTGACAAAATAAAACTATCGGTTGTATAAATCTTGAGTTGAAATTCTCTGATATTTGAGAAAAAAATCGCATAGCAGGAATCTACTTAAGACATACTATACTACGAAGTTCGAACAGTTATTCATAATACTACTTGTTTGGTTGAATTTTTCAACACAATTATTTTCTTTTTTCTTCGGAACTTTCCGTTTTGAATTTAGGCTTATTTTTCCAAAATGAACACAAGATCACAGCTACGCGAGTTCAAAGAAAAATAAATTCAATAATTTTTTCCTCATGTATTATATCCAAATAAATTGGCCATTTTTAATCATCTTGAATAGTGACAAATAAACATTAATCTTACATATTTCACTATGCTAACAAAATTTCAAAAGTACAGTTGAAATATGCATTTGAAATAATTTACTTGTCATATTATCTATATCTGTTTTAGTACTCAAAAGACATGCCATTTTGAGTGAGATGTCTCATCAGCTTTTCTTTCACCATGATACATATGAAAACATCGTATCCTGTATCTATGGCCAGACTTGATAATTTTTATGTGGTAGTCGCTTCAGCATCAGACTAAAAGAGTATCAGCGGGTCATCTGAATTCAAGTAGAATGCTGACAAGTTGGCTTAGGTTTATGTTTACCCCAAAACATGAAATTACACACTATGCTGACATTTTCAATGCACCGTCCTCTTGTATTTGTTACGATATACACTTAAAACGATCCAGTGTGGTTACAAAACAAACAAAGTCGGTAGGGAGGTGGTACATCTTGCGTTTATTAACGATACAGGACACCATACTTTAATTTGCTTCGTCAAAAAACTATTTTGAAACAAATATTAACTTTTAAATAAGTGTTGAAAATACATGGTCCTCATTTTCACATTTGCGCTGCAAATATATCTTCAAATTTTGACAGTTCTGGATCAATTATATATACTTAGAAAAATATTTTCGAAATATTGAGTGATCTTTTACCTCTATGTTTTCATAGTTAGATAAGATTTCATATTTATGTCATCAAAAGGGAAAGCTAACAAGATAACATAATCACATTAGTAACTGAAGTGAAACTTGAGATCACATAATCTAATTAAGATTTAAAAACATTTTGATTTAATGTAAGGGTGTTAAGTAATCGTTAGTGAAAGATACTCAGACCTAGGTCTGGTATTGCTCAAATTCTCCCAAGTGCAAATTTTCTTTCTATATATATACACCTATCATATTGAGTTGTTTTGATGTTTGCAAATTTCATTGTCGAACATGTCCGAATTTAAAATATATTCAATAGTTCATTTCCATTTTTATTTCTGAAAATCTTTTTAACAAGGCAAATTGCCTTTTTAGATATCTCGATATTATCATCTTCCGTAACTTATACATCAAAGATAACTATGATTCCGTTTCTAAATGAAAAATATAGTTAAACACACATCGAATGCTAGTGAGAATGCCCTAATGCGTTTCCATATAGTTTCACTTTATTCTTGCATAACAGAATGAAAATAGAAATTTTTCACAGCAGTTGTTAACTAGATTTATTACAGTCAGAGTAGATGACACTAATCTGCTTTTATTGAGACTAGGTTAATAGACCATGAAAACCTAAATTTTAAAAGTGATACTTTTTATTTGCAATATATTACCACATACATCATTTCAGTTATATTAGGTTTATTTTCACAATATTTGACGACCCAATTTTCCACTTTATTTTGTTTGCACTTGTTATGGCATCAAAATTAGCATAGCTTTGAAAAATTCAATATAACAATGCTTTTACTTGTGAACTTGAACTTTGTTACATCTTAATATGTCAAAACACACTTTGTTTAAACAAGATTTAGGACTGAAATATACTGAAAATGAGAAAAATGATTTTTGCAAAACTGTTGAAACTTTGAGAGTATTTGGCAGACATTGCATCTCAATTTGAAAACAAAACTGTCATTTGTCTGTTTCAAACCTATTTAGATTTAGTGACTAATGACATTACAGTGGGCACCCATGTAACCTTTCTCAGACTTGAGTCTCCTTTACTTTTGAGTGAGTATGCCTTACTTTGAGAATTGAGAGAATCTCTTAATAAAATGAAAGAATGTGAATGTGTATGTGAAAAAACTTTATTATTGCCCTGCCGGAAAGACGCTTGTTGATTTGAGATGTGTACTGTATTTGTATGTTTGAGAATGCATTCAATTTAGAAATACGATTGTTTCATGCATGATTTCCACTTGTAGTGCTTGCTGGTGTTTATATGGAAATATCTCTTTCAAAATTTGACCAGTAACATACTTGGACAAGCATGGATCACATATGAAATTATCCATCAAGTTCATATCTAAACCAAGCTTGGTTGTTACTTAGATCAATTCTGAAAAAGAAATGTCAATATTACTTGCTGTCAAAATTAGGGTTAATGTTAAGAAGTAACAAATATAAATCTTACTATTTGTACTTCTTAGGTTCCTGCATAATAATGTCCTCACTACATTACCAGAAGGGCTATTTGATGGACTATCATCATTAAAAAGACTGTAAGTAATTAATTCATATATTTAATTGCATTCATTTTAATTACAACTTCGATGAAAAACCAGCGACATGTTTGGAGTGGAAATATTTTGCAATAGTAAATTATAGGGAGAACTTTTCTGGGGTCAAGGGTCAGGTAACATTCATTAGGTCTAATAAATTCATCAGTAAAAAAATCTGACAATTGTCAGTTGAACTGCATTAAATAATATGTTCTGAACGTTCAACCATGTTTTTTAGAAGTACTGCAAAGCCATTGCTTGAATTATAATCAATTAATTCATACATAACCATACAAATGTTACAGAAATGTGAAGCTCCATTATCATGATAGTATCCATGTTCATGCATGATACTTTATAATATTCTATATATTTTCTATACCCAGACGACTTGATAACAACCAACTCATGTGTGATTGCAAACTTCTATGGTTCGCAAGAATGCTCCTATCACTCGGAGGAAATATTCAAGCCACAGTCACTTGCAACGCTCCAAGGCACCTGTTTGGTCGTTCAATATCAACAATACCATTGCGGGAATTTAAATGCAGTCAGTCTTTTTTTCATTCTAATATTTAAAGTATGTATTGTGGTTAAAATTCAGGGTTCAAAAGAGTAATAGGTGGTTTTCGTGAGTTCCTCCGTTAGCATTTTTTATGGACTATTAGATATTGTGGTTTAATAAAGTATGATTTATCAGTGATGAAATATATATCAAACAAATATGCAAAAATAACTTCCAAAAATGTGTAAATTAAAAGGTTTCACCTTTGAGGTTTATGGTTTCGAAGCCTAAAAATTTCACTGGCTCATGGTTTTGCAGGATAGAATTCTGTGATGGATAATTATGTGCAAGAGGATTGCTGGATTCCTCACTGCTGTAGGGGGGTTCACATAATTGATGGTCATCAAGTCCATGCATGTGAAACAAATAACTATCCGAGCCTTATCATTTATGATATGTAAATATTGCAATCTTGCTGAAATATTTTCAGTTTAAAATATTTAAAATTGAATGTTTTTTATAAAATATTTCTCAAGGTATCAAATTATCTATATAAAAAATCCTTTTTAGTTTTTATATCTATTTTTGTTTGATAGCCGCTCCTGCTATTGTGACTGAACCTCACAGCACTCAAGTAAGAGAAGGAGAGACAATTTACATGTCGTGTACAGCAAGTGGTTCACCTCAGCCCCACATTGTTTGGTATCATGATGGGTAGGTATTTTATAAAGTATGATGAGGGCAATCATTGAAAAATGGCGAATATACTTCGACTTTACGTTTGTTGAGAAACAACTCTGTGCAGAGTGCATGAAACCCTAAACACTGTGTAACGTTGACAAAATACTTTGTTTTGCTTACACCAGTTGTGCTTTATGTCCTCGAGATTTTGACAGGGATATACAAAAAATGTAGATATTACACGTGAAAACTGTTTATAGCTATTCAAATGATCAACCAAAGTTCTGATTGTATGCAATTTATTCAAGAAATGGATTGAAATGGCTAGATTGAATCATTAAAATATGTGCCATGAAGCTACCCCAGAAATGAAATCTTTTTAGGGATATTTGGGGAATTATGAAATATTGGGGAAATAATATATCATTATATAAAAATCTTTATTTTTTAGAGAAGTTGTACCAAGTGATGCAAGAAGAAGACAGAGTATTGGTGGATCTTTGATCATCATGAATCCAAAAAAAGTAGATGAAGGTTATTAAAATTCTAATTAAATTTCCTATGTTTTATAAAGCTTTGATGAAAGTAGAATAACAAGTAGAATTTGTATTTGTACCTTTTTTACAGGTTTGTACAAGTGTGTTGCAACTAATACAATCGGAAGTGCTGAAAGTAGACAAGTGCAAGTTGTTTATCGGGGATCGACAAGCGGACCTCCATTCTTTATATCAAGACCACAAGACGTTCAGGTCAGTTGGTCAAGCAATGCATGGGCTTGGGCTCTACATCTGGATCGGATTGCATTTCCCTATTTATTCTGAGAGAGAGAAAAGCCGATAGGATGGCTTAATCATATGGCGAATCATAACCTCTCATCCAGTTCCCAATTCATGTCAGGTATTGGAATAGCTAGCCAGATATTTGTTTCATATGCATAACCTGATGGTAGAGGAAGCCTTGACCGACCAGCTGTTACGTGAACCACCCTACGGCAGCAAGGAGTCCACTCACATATTAATATTCCCCACTGGATTTGAACCTGGGTAATCTTAGGTGTAGAGGCCAGTGTATTCTTAATGCTCAGCACGATGCGCCACACCGGCAAGCCTAATGGCCAATGTTTTACATATGTAATAGACTAATAGGGTAACATAAAGCATGGAAATGTTCATGCTCGATTTGAGCTTTTCTTGTTAAACACTAATTTTTGAAAAATGTTTCAATTATTTTCAGGTTCGTGTTGGTGAACCTACTACTTTAGAATGCAGAGCAGCTGGAACTCCTGAACCTACGATTAGTTGGATAAAGGATGGAAACCCTGTGAACTCACAAAACGCTTTAATAATTACAAGTTCAGGTTAGATTGAAATCTTTTCTTTGCAAAGTTAGATTATAAAGCTGGCTTAGAATTACTGCATACAAGATGCTTTAGGACAAACTGGGGTGGATATGATTTTTCTGCAGTGAAAATTAGTATATTTGACTAACAATTCATCTATGATGTTTCGTCATCATCCAATGTTGTCTGCTCAACTAAATTTACTATGAAATTATGTGTTTTTACTGAATTTTTACATACTCCATTTAGAATTAGTCTTGACTCATTCATATATAATTTAATAAGCCTTTAGATTTAACAAATAAAAAAAAAAACTAATTCCATGGGAAAATAAGTGAGACACCATTCAAATACTACTCTATCAAATTGGCTCAAATCCAGGTTATTTCCAATTACATCAATTATTTGTGTGCAATTCTAGGTTCCTTGCATTTCCGTCGCACTGAAACGTCAGATAATGGATCGTATACTTGCATTGCAACCAATGACGAAGGCTCAGTCAACACAACTGCAGAAGTTATCGTGAGAAGTAAGTATCATTATAATAATTCTTGTATTTAAATAAAAACTTTTTCAATGCCCCAAGCTAGGCCATAGACAAGCAGTCACATGGCCCCACGAGAATAAATAAATGAAGATGACACAGAATAGTTTCAACTTAACGTATCCTACCCAAAGATTTCGGTCTGGTCTGCTTCCAAACTATAGTAGCACCTTAGCTAACAGCACCTGCTTGTTCAGAGCCATGTTCTGAGCAAAATACATGTAAAACCTCTTTTCTGTATTCAATCTCATCTAACTCAAAGTACGATATCTGTTTGTATCATTTTACTCTTTATTTACAATTTATCATAGGTCCCCCAGTTTTCACTCAAAGGCCTGAAGATCTTATGGTGTTGCAAGGTGACAGTGCACTTTTTCAATGCCATTTCACTGGCAATCCATCACCAACCATAACATGGCTGAAAAACGGGCGTAGACTTCCTCGAGATCAAAGATACCTTGTCATGTCATCTGGTAATTAATCCATTTCAGACAATTTTACATTTTTAGTACTATGGATATAGTATGTTATCTCTGAAATTATTTCATGGTATGAAATTAGTTTTTCTTTATTTTCTTTGTCGCTTTTATGCATCTTAAAATTTGTTTTATACATGTTTTTTATATTGCTTATTGATGTATCCAAAAATAATTTTTTTATGTTTTTTTAAAAGGAACACTGCTTATACGTGTTGTGAACCCTGGAGATGAGGGAAAATATACGTGTCGATTATATAATTTAGTTGGTACTGCAGAATCACACGCAGATCTATCAGTCAGAGGTAAAGGAGAAATTTGTAAATGCAATTAACATTATTGCATTGATTTAGTTAAATATTCTATTCTCAATTTGTTTTATATTATTGCATGCCACTGCACAGTATTGGTTTTTCGAATCTCCTTTTAAACGGAAATGCGATGTTGGAAAGTTTATTTTAATTTGTGTATAAAAAGTGCGGATTTTCTTCATGGTGAAAAAATAAACTATTGGTTACCGATTGTATCGATATTTTTATAAACGTTCACTAAAATCTGACTTGACTTTTCTATACAAATTACAAATTTTGTAATCATTTCTATTCCACGGCATAAAATCTTCGCATCAAAATTTCTCGCTCTCAATATTAATAAATTTCTAACCTTGCATTTTATGAATTTTAGTTGCTCCACATTTTATTGTGCGACCACAAAATCAGAGAGTAAGACAGGGAAGAACAGTAGATTTTCAATGTCAAGCATCAGGAATACCTCAACCTCATATTGTATGGACAGTTAATGGTAACTTGTTTTTTTTGTTCGTGTTCCAGTTGAAATATAAAAATTGATATCAATTTGTTATAATTTGGGAGCGATAGGATAAAAGTTAAAATTAGAAAAAGTTTTTTGGTTTTTTAGGTAGAGCCATACCTGATGATGACAGATACAGCATCTTGCCATCCGGTACATTAAGAATTTTGAGAGTGGAAACAAGAGATGCTGGAGTGTTTACTTGTGAAGCTGCTAATCCACTTGGAGCCAGGAAAGCTGAAATAACCCTGGAAGTCATTCCATTCCAAAGTATACAATTTACAAGGTTAGATTTTACGAAAAATTTAAATTCCAAAGATCTAACAAACTTGATAATGATTAATTTAATCAGATAACGAAACTGACCATTTTACTCTCACCGGTACTATAATGTCTATTTACGCACAAATTATTAACCACTTAAACCAGGGTGTGCAACAGGCATCCCATGGGCCACAACCTTGCTAGCCAAGCTATTGAGTGTGGCCCTATCAAATCATAATCCGACAATTTATGCTTAAACATGAACACACATGGGTAAAGATACAGTACGTAATGTTTTTTGCTCATGTTTCACACTTAAATATAGATATTCATCTATTTATATTGAAATGGAATTTACTTTTAGTTACTACTATCAGCTGCAGTAACTTTGGTGAAAATTTCATTTTTACTAAAATACTTTTGTTTACTCCTATAGGACACCTTCTGACTTGAATGTAGATTCTGGATCAAGAATACGAATCCCATGTCATGTACAAACAGAAGATGATGACGGTTTAAATTCTCTCACTATATCATGGGCTAAAGATAGTGTAGGAATCGTATCATCAGGTGAGAAATCTAAAATAGTCATAATGCCCATAGTAGGATTAAAACCTGCTATTTATATAATGTTTGCTCTGAGCAATGCTACAGAAGCATTCACATATACATAAAGAATGTTTCTGGAAAGACCGAAATATTTTTGATTTGGGATAAAATCTACTTGTTACGCGATTGTTGAAATTTTGGGCATCAATTTTAAACACAAGATTTTTATCTTGCGACAAACACATTTCCTTTGCCGATGTGCAAAATACTCGGTAGCTGCCCTCTCAAGTTGAGAAGATCTTGAAAGCAATTGCTTTAAAACAAATTGACTTGAGGGCGAGTCAATATAGCATATGAGACAGAAATACACACTGAGTTATTAATCACTCGCCATTACTCTGATTGACTCATTTCCAGTGATTCCTATTAGGTGTCATCATTTTTAATTTTGATTGAGAAGCATTTGAGTGTTTAAAAGATGTCTCACTCAAGTCGAGTGATAAACTCACTCCAACCTCACTCTATTACCGATAACTTTTTTAGATGAAAGATATTCTATTTCACCACCTCCAAACAGTTATTTAACAATAATGGACGTCGGTCAAGATGACGCTGGACGATATGAATGTATTGCAAGAAGTGGACCAACATCTGCAAGAGCAAGTAAGTCAATGAGAATTTATGTTGAAGATGACAAAAACGCAAAATTCAAAAATTGGAATTTGGCAATGAATCTTAATTACTGAAATTTAAAATATTGAATTTGATTTGGAAATATTATTGTGCTTATTTGTGTCAAAATTTGGATAAATTTGCAACAAATAAATAAATACCGCACACTCTCGCCCGGTTGATCGATGACAGTTAATTTTGAACATATTTTTTGTCAGGTATGACACTCACTGTGACAGTCCGAAGTTCAACTGAAGAAATTGTATCGAAATTATTAGATATTTTACCGCCTGGCTGTCTTCAGCAAGGTTGCTCACATTTCGATGAAAATGGTAAGAATTAATAGTACATTAATTCAATTCATATTAAACTATTTTTTAAAAGTAATGAATGAAACATGAAATTTCAAACTAATGTGTCTAAAATTTTCACTTCTAACTACGCACTGTAAAAGCATGATTTTCAGAGATAAACGATTAGACCCAGGATGAAACCATTGTTTTCCAATCTGTAATGTCAATATAATCACTTATAGTGTATATAGAAAGAAACATATATAAAGAATGCAATTTTATCATGTGACACAAGCATCCCTAACTGAAAGACAATCTAAATTTTTGTACATTAGATGTCACACATCGCCCAGATGAACTCAACCAAGAAACTCTAAATAATCTTCTGAGAACAGAACTCGGTATTGGAACAAATTTCCGACAAAAACGTCAAACTAGTAAGTTGATGGTAAATTTTGAAGAATTGCTTGGGGCGCTACTGAAACTTAAGTCAAATTTTGCTTTCGATTTGAGGTTGGAGGTTACAGGAAATAAATTATTTAATCTGGGAAATGTAAGAGGAACTACTCAAGTCATTGTATACTGGGTCAAATCGCAGTACTGTAGTGTTTAAACCTCAGCATATAAAATCGAAGGTTGGAAATTGAACTTTAAATAGATTTTTGCTAGGATCTCACAATTTTGAATATTACCATTTTGGTCATAGATCGCCATGACTACATTAACTCATAATAATCAGGTTTGTTTAATTATTTGACTGTAATGCGTTTATTCTTTTTTTTTCATTTGTTGGTATTTCATTGTGAAGAAAATAACTGATGGAAACACCATTAAAGGAAAACTAGGTTTTTATATGGCAGAGCCAGGTGCCACACGTGTTGAGAGCCCTTAAAAAGGGCCATATATCATAAATGATTGAGGACTACTGATTTAGCTGATATCGAAATTTTGATATCTTCCACAAATTTGTCACATATATTAATTTTAGGGCATAATAGAGTAGAGTTTATTGCCAAGAAGTAATTTTTCTCACTTAAATTCTCCGTAATCCTCTTTTTACACATGAGTTATTCTATGTGTGTGTATAAAGTATTAACGTTAATTGAAACCATTATTTTTCAGCCTCATTTAATTCAAGATTGAATGAACTAAGTAGCACAGTTAACCTTGTTACTCAGAATATTGATGGTGCTATCAATAACACAATTCATCATTTTAACGACAGGTACGAGCAGAAAATTTTTGCAAAAAGTTAGCAAATTCGTGGTAATCTGGCAAAAATGTATTCATGTTTGCATATCCAACCCAAAAAATGACATATTTTATGCCAAAAAGCATTTTATCCAATAAATTTACAATGATTTTTTTGCAAGAAAATTGACATTTTTGATGCCTTAATTTTTTCCAGCGTAATCCTAAATTGTGATGAATGATATGGACATAATATTAACCTAATTTTTTGGGAATTTGTTAATATTTGTATATGTCGTTTTTAACATTTTAAAGAGACCTAAAGACATTTTATTGATATTGTTGTCTAAATCTTTTATTCATAGAATTTTGAATAAATCAAGATGTCACATGGAAATGACAAAAATGTATAAACTAATCAGTTAAAGAAAGTATTTTGAAAATTTAGACATTTGCTTTTTCTGGTAAATTTACCATTTTTCGAAGTTCAAGTATAAATTGACTCGTCAGTTTTTTCTATTTCGAGTAATGATGCAATGCACTCAAGTTTAAATCTACAGTCAAGTAATTGCTTACTTACTGGCCGTTTTCACACTGATGAAAATCACTATAGCACTTACATTCAATGTATAATATTAAAATTATTTTTAATAATTCCTAATTAAATAATTAATTAATTCCAGGCGACAGAGACAATCTTCGAGTGACTTACTCGCACTCATGAGGTTTCCTTCAACTAGACGAGGAGTGAATATGATGAGAGCAGCGGAAGTATTTGAGGTTTCGTTACACATGATTGAATGTTGCATAAGAAGAGGAGCAAAATTGAAAAGATTTGCTCTCGATAACAATAAGTTTCCTGATAGTCCTGTCACAACTCCACCCATAGCAGGTAATTTTTTTTTTCAATTTGTCATGAGAGGTACATCCATTGAAATTAGAGACAGGGAATAATGGTTGACGCATTGGTTCTTGGGGTCTGCAGTCGAATGGGGGTCTGAGAAACAATTTTAGCGGGAGCGAGTAGCAATATTGAACCAAAATATATAAATAAGTGACAGTCAAGCTGTTGCATCTTATTGAACTGTATTAATGACATGTCACAAATGAATGCTTGATATATCGTGTAGCTATTCTGAATTCTTCAGTGGGCTGCGAGTCATCAGAAAAATTGTAAGGGGCCGTTATGCAAATTTTTATCTAAAGATGAGAACTGGCTTAGTGGTTAAAGCGTTAGGCTTAACTGTGTTAGCTTTGCGGGTTACACATCTCGGCTTCCAATTCCATGAGTGGCTGCGCCTTGTGTGGAGGAAATAAATGATTAATAAATTGACCTGTTCAATTTCTCTATATTTTTTACAGCAGTTGAAGTGCAGAGTCGTACTGTTAATGCTGAAGATGACTCAGAACAAGAAGTAATTCCAGTCATTGGAACAGAAGTTGTTGCCATTGTAGCTAATTTATCAGGATGTTCTGCACATCAGAAAATACCTGACTGTTCTTCAAATATATGTTTCCATAGAAAGTAAGATATTTTTTACACTGTTAATTATTATTAAATATTATAATGATACAAATTTTTACGAATAGAATTTTTTATGATTGCAACTTCAATTTTTTAGATATCGAACTTCAGATGGCACATGCAATAATCTTCAACATCCAATGTGGGGTGCATCTTTAACACCTTTCCATCGAATTTTAAAGCCAATTTATGAGAATGGATTCAATGCCCCTGTTGGATGGGATTCCAACAAATTGTAAGTTTCAAATAAACTATATTTTCTATTACTGGATTTATCACTTGTTTATCATTGTTTTTTTGAATTCTTCATTTATAGGTATCATGGCCGCACATTACCCAGCCCCAGAAGAGTTTCAATCGAAGTTTTGATGTCTCGAGAACCCAGGCCTTCAACAGATGCCGATTTCACCCACATGACAATGCAGTGGGGGCAGTTCATCGATCATGACTTAGATTTTACAACAATGGCTCCGAGTATTAAGAGATTTTCTGACGGAGTCGCTTGTAAGGATTCTTGCGATCACGATGCCCCTTGTTTTCCCATTGAAGGTAAATAAATAATTAATATTTTTGTTTCTTTATTTGTGTTGTTTTAGGTAGCTAGTTGATTACCCCGCATAGGGGTTTAGGGGTAAGAATCCTATGTAGGATCATTTTATATCTTGTTTTCAGTGAACCCAAATGACCCTCGTCACAGAACATTCCATCATCACGCAACTCATCATAGTCATCGAGGCTCAAATACTCTCGATGGAGCAACAACAACATGTATGGAATTCACTCGATCGAGTGCTGTCTGTGGTTCGGGAATAACTTCAGTATTTTTTAGTGCTTTGTCACGAAGAGAGCAAATTAACCAAGTAAGATTGTGGTGCTTCTGGTCGTAAAAGATTAGCATGAGGGCTAGGTTATGTCGGTATTGCATATCCATGAGTCATCACACGCTAATCACTCACCTTAGATTGAGTGAGTTAAGTAGACCATGAATATACCAAAAAATTTGGTCTTCTCAAAAATATTTTCTTATAAAAGTCACTTTTCCAAAGTCTTGTTTTGAGTAAAATGGTATAGAAGTTAGATACTTCCGATTCAAGCTCTGTCTATGAGTCATCCCATGCTCACTCACTCACATTAGATTGGATGAGTTGAGTAGGTTAAAAGAAACCAGAATAAATATGGTCTTTTTAAATTTACCTTCTCATAAAAGCATCTTGCCCAAATTCTTGCTTAGAGTGAAAATAACAATGTTCAATTCAGATTACCTCATATCAAGATGCCTCAAATGTTTACGGAAGTACGGACGAAGAAACCAAAAATTTACGAGATTTGACCTCTGACCTTGGATTATTGAAAGAAGGTCAACCTCTCGAACCTGGACAAAAACCTTTGCTACCATATAATGTATACTCCGACCTTGATTCTGGTAAGTTTTTCACTTAAGCTTTATTGTATATTAATACATGATTATTGAATTACAATGAATTTTCATTGATTTTACAGATTCTTCTGTGATTCGACCAGTCGCACCGATTGAGTGTAGAAGAGGAGACTCAGAAAGTCCTCAAGAAAGAAGTGTTCCGTGCTTTTTATGTGGGGATCACCGATGCAATGAACAGGTATGATTTTGTGTGCTCAGATCGCAATCTTGGTAAAATTGATTGTTCTACCTAGGCCTTCATTTGCTTGAATTCTTGCCCTCAATATGGTCACAAACCAAATATGAATTTTAGCTTTTTGCTCTGGATTATAAAATAAAATCCAAAAATCTCATTTCTGCAACAGATTTCTTTAACTTCAATGCATACATTATGGATGCGAGAACACAATCGTATTGCAAGAAAATTGAAGCAGCTGAATAAAAATTGGAATGGAGAAACTATTTTTAATGAAGCCAGGAAAATTGTTGGAGCTGAAATGCAACATATAACATATTCGGTTAGTATTATTTTTTTTATTTGAAGGGCGGTATTTTAAAAGTTTACAATCAATGTATTGTATTTTACGAGATTATTTGGGATATGCTAATTAGACTTCTGACATCTAATGCATTATTTTTGTCAAATTGATTTGTCAGATTTTTTACGAGATACAGTTTTTTTTTAAATTTATAATATTTCAACCATCAAAATATTGTCAAAAATATACAGTATTAAATTAAAAATAGGGGGAAAACAAGTAAAAACCAGGATGCAATGAAATGTTCTTATCAGTCTTTTATCTTATTTTTTCAGCATTGGTTGCCAAAGATCCTTGGACCATATCAGAAACGAATTGGAGAATTTAAAATGTACAATCCAAACTCTCCTTCGTCTATAGTCAACGTATTTGCTACAGCTGCATTCAGATTTGGGCACACAATGATTAACCCAATTATGTTCAGGTACGAGTATTGTTATTGTTTATTGCAAAATTAATATTCCAGGTATTCATAGTGTTAAGCACGACGTTCCTATACATTTTAGTGGCCGGTTGTTTGAAAATCTTCAAAAGATTTCATACTCAATCATTTTCTTTGAATATACTCGCTATACAAGTCTAATTACCCTCCAAACGCAAGAGAACTTTTGTGGTCCGTAGCATAGAATGATGTCACACTGCCTGTTATCAAATTTTCCATTGGACTGCCTCTATTTAATTCTTCCTTGTTTTTGAAATTTTCAGATTGAATCAAACTTGGGGTGAACATGATCATGGTAACTTAATGCTACATCAAGCATTCTTTGCTCCATATCGAATTATACATGAAGGCGGGATAGATCCACTAATAAGAGGACTTATCGCTAAACCAATGAAGGTACAGTACAGATACAGCTGTGAATCACAATCAATTATGTCATTGAAGGCTATTCTAGATATCACAATAAAGTATATTGGGAATAATAAAAACACAAACATTCATCAATTTCTGGTTCCAATAATCACTGAAAAGAAATGAAAAGAGTATCTTACATTGAGGGGTAATAGCTGTCGCCTGACATGTGGTACAAGTGAGACACATAGGGCAAGTGGGACACCCTAGTAGCTGTTCCTCTGTAATTAGTTGCTCGTTTTCTGGCCTCGTTAGCAACTTTATACACTCTTTTTAATATTTCTCAAGACTATCAATTGTTTGTTATGGTACTCCCCCAATTGTTAATAATTTCATTTAGTACTGAGCTATAGTGTCTCTTCACTAAACAACACTGATAGTTCAATTTCTGATAATTTGTGTTTCCCAATAATTTTACTAAAATCTCAATCCACAGGCTCGAGATTCTGATTCCAACATGAACTCTGAACTGATTGAAAGATTATTCGCTCTTGCTGAGGAAGTTGCATTAGATCTTGGTGCTTTGAATATTCAACGAGGACGCGATCACGCACTTCCTTTTTATAATGAGTGGAGAGAATTTTGTAATTCAACCAGAGCTCGAACTTTTGATGATCTTGCTGGAGAAATTACTAATCAACAGGTACCACTGTGGGGGGGATTTCACTTTATTATGCATGAAATATGACTAACATTTTTATATGAGAAGGTAAAACCTTGTTCAATCGGAACTAGAACTACAAATAATCTTGAATTGATAAAAAACATTACCTCACAAAGTTTTACGAGAATGCATGAATATCATCTACCTAGAATGAAATTCAGATTTATAATGATGATATTACATATTTTTTCATTAATCTATCTTATTGAAAGGAAGTCATCATATAATCCAAATTGAGTATTTTTGAAAATGGTTGATGACCATTGTGTGAGTTAATATATTAAAATACCCTCATTCTCTGGATATTTTGATTTCAATATTTAAATTCCATTGAATTCCATTTGTGGGCTGTACAATCAGGTACGGAGGCATCTCAAAGTTATCTTGGGCATCACATCACTTGTCCAGTTCATTACTTCTTATATGATAATATTATACTAATCAGAGGCCTGAAAAAATTGCATATTAGGACGCTCATCACCGAAAAACCTTTGCACTAACAATTTTTTGGAATCATGGTACTTCATGTTATGAAGTTTTCAATAGTACTTTCTGGATTAGGCTGTATACATACATATCTATTATCTCTTAGTGGATTGTGGTGGGTAAGCAAATGAGACACCTAAAACAAATAAGATGATACCCAAATTCAGATTCTTATTTTTGAGTTGATATATTTTTATTACAAACATTTTTTTTCAAATTAAAGGTACGACAGCAGCTACAAAATGTTTATGGAAACCCAGAAAACATAGATCCATTTGTTGGAATGATATTAGAAGACATAACATCGGGATCAAGACTCGGACCAACACTCGGTTGTCTTATTTCCGAACAATTCATGAGAATTCGTGATGGTGATCGTCTGTGGTACGAAAACCCAGGAGTTTTCAGTCCAGTGCAGTTAACTGAAATAAGGCAATCGTCTTTAGCTAAAATTATTTGTGATAATACTGACGGCATATCAAGTGTACCGAGAGATGTTTTCAGAAATACTCCGATTTCTGATTTTGTTTCGTGCCAAGAAATTCCAGCTGTAGATTTGAGAGCCTGGACAGAATGTTGTGATACTTGTAGCGGAAGCGAGGAAACCGATGCCAATACGCTTTCTGGTGAGACTTCGTAGCAGTGGCGAAATTGTTAAACGTAACCCGAGTTCAAATCCCATGCCCACCGCCTCACCCTGGGTGTAACAAATTGGGTAGGCAATGATGAACCGGAAAATTCTGGTTCTTCAAAATAAATTAGATTTCTATATATTAGTTGCTCCTTATTAAAGCCTTGTTCATAGTGAAAGTTGGGCCCTCCTGAAGTATGCGCAACAAGATGGCGCACAACCTGAACTCAGGTCGTGTACCAGGTTAGGGTTCAGATTATGCGACATCTTGGTGCGCATACTTCAGGAGCACCAAAAGTTGTATAAAAATGATATTTTCGCATTCCCATACTGCTATCTCTAGTTATATAGAATATGTTATTATGTATTCATGATTCTCCTTTGAAAAAGGTTACAAGATGGCCTCTTAGGAATTTTCAACTGAAGTACCCCCAAATAATAATAAATTAACCCGAACCAACCCCCAATGCAAGCTGACATACATTTGGTGGACTTGCATACATTAACAAGCTTGGGCACAGCATTTTTTGTATAATAACCGTGTGTTTTTTTAATGCTAAACGGAATTACAACTTATATTACAACATATTATTCATACAGCACACATAAGGAGAAATAACAGAAGATCAAAAAGAAGTGTTGATATTGATGAAAACGGAATTGATTCAAAAAATAGGAAATCAGAAAAACGAGCTCGAAAGAACAGAAAAGGTATGGTGGCAAAACGAATTTTGTTTAGAAAACTGAAGATAGGAAGATTTATATATCAGGATTTTCTGTCTTGTTTCAGAATAAAAAAATATTTACCGTAAATCAAACATTTTTATTGGTTAATATTTATTTCTGATCGTTTTAATCCAAATATTATGGGTATGAGTTTCAAAAAAAAAAGAAAAAAGAAAAAAACCTGCTGTACCGGGCAAAAAACTGATAAATAAAAAAATTGAAAGGCCTTGCTAGATATAGCTCATACTTACAAAATGCTGAACTTTGATATACTCATGTTTTTCTGTCATACCTTTTATTTTCTTTTGCAGGTAAAGTACGATCGTTCCTAAAAACAATGCAACCTGTGACACTAAATGACAAGCGTAAGATATTTAACGATTTGGTCTGGTCGCAACGTTTACAAGGAATCAGTAATCCTAAAGAAATGCTCGATATATCACAAACCATTGCACGAGAAAGTGAAGACGCTATGGAACAAACGCTAAAAGATTTAGCGATGCACAACATCGACATTGGAAATTTCGCAGCTAAAAAAGAAAGTTTTTTCACAAATTCTGATAAGAAAGAAAATGAAGTCGGGATGGATAAACTTTTGAACGTTATCGAAAATCTAGAATCACGAATTTCTGATTTACAAAGCGAAGTTAAACGACTAAGTGGAAAAGTCGATAATGATTTACCTAAATAAACACTGGTAGTATTTATTACAACAATTTATTTAAGAAATTAACCAAACGAGGCCAGCGGGATTCGCGAAATCGAAATCTATGTTCAAAAACAGACTTTGCCAATTTTCTTGTTTACAAAAAATGAACATTTTGTAAAATTGTGAATGTTTTTATTAACTTGAGCCATTATGTATTTCACATTAATAGTGTTAGATATGGGAAAATTCACAGTAAACTGTCATTACATATTTTAATGAGAAAAGACAATTCTAAAATTGACCTAAAATTCCACTGACTTTTGTTGCTCAAAATCGACATTTATTTGATTTTCAGATCATAATTTTGTTTAACCGAACTTCGGGCGTTTTTGTCCGTATTCAATTTTTTGGCATTTCTGTATATCAGTAAAAAATCATCATGCAGACTTGGTTTTAAACTAGATAACTTTATGATTGTGACATCATACTTTCAATTTGTGATGTCATGCTACCATTTTGATGAGTGATTATACGGATAATAGATCTGCAGCTCTAAATATTCTAATACACGGTTGTGATTTCTGGAAACCTCATTTTAATCTTTTATGCACAAAAATTATGTATAAATTTGGTAAATTCATCTCTTCAATTTATTCAGTTTTATCATTGTGTTAAGTTTCATAAAATATAAGTAAATATCTCAAAACATCCTCAAGGTGTAGTTATGGCAGTGAGGAGGCATATTATTGAAGAAGAATAGGATTGAAATTTGAGGACTTTTGCACATTGAAGGATTAATTCCTATTCATACTCTGACGTAATAAAATTGACTTTTCCTATTGTGATGTAACTAATATCCTATTGTGATGTAACAATTTAAAAGTCTCAAACGATTTTGAATTATAGTTTTTTGGTTATCATTGTTTCATTCATTATGTAGTAAAAACTAATTGTCCATTAAAGATTGGACCATTGATGTAACCTTTTCTCTTGGCTTGGTTCAAGTATGGCACATACTTGGCGAAAATGTTGACTAATACACTGATTTGTTTCAAAAATTTTTGTGTATAATTTTTTTTGTTGTTTTTTTGTTAAAATTGTGTGTGTGATGTGAATTTAACCAGCGTGTTTTGTTTTTCCTGGTGCCATGTATGGTCCGGATAAGTTTAAGCCTTAAATACAGCATATTTTTACACATAATTTTTGATGATGAGTATTCTTTTTGTTTGCAAATCATGGAAACATGATTTTTTGCTTTTTCTGTAGCATTTTTACATCTGCGTGTTATTATTATTATTTTTTTTTTCATTTGTTTTTCTGTCTAACATTACATTTTTCAATAAAAACGATGGATTTTTGGTCACTTTTGTGTTATTTTTGTTTGCTTGCTTTCAATTTTGAATATTCCTTCACATGGAGAGGTTACTTTGTACTATAAGTAATATTTATTTTATCAGAAAAAGCTAGATCTGACATGGGCAATCTAGGACCCGCGGGCCAAATCTGGCCCGTTGGGTACTTCAAAGTGGCCCTCCTGATTCTGCCACAACCGAACCAAATTTCGATATTTCAGCTGAAAATTAGCTCGAGGAATTTGTTGAGATTTAATTTTGGCATGAGACTCGTTGTTTTCTTTTTTTGCTTTTGTAAAACTGTAGATATTATTCATTTTTTTTCACGTCACACTCGCATGGCCCGCCGGTCTAGGTGGGCAAAATCCATGGCCCCTGGTCCGAAATCCTTGCCCACCCCTGGGCTAGATACTTCATCTGAATTTCTGCCAATATCTTTGTTGACTAGAGTCAGATTTTCAATCAGTTCAATTGCCTTGTGTTCTGGTCGAGTACGGGATTAATTATCTACCGTAGACTTGGAATGTTGAGGAAGCCAAAACCATGAAAGACCAACGGTAACTAGTAGAAACGTGAACTAGTTGAGCAATTACTTCACTGAAAACTGTCGTTTATGTGAATCACAACCATATGGGGTTATAAGTAAAGCGAAGGCATTCGCGACTGCTAACCAAGAAGCCAATATAAAGTTGAACCTGAGCTAGAACTGACCATATATACGAGTGGGCCTACATTCTTTATGAAATCAAGTAAATTATATTCTACTTATCGACAGAGATAGATTTTGTATTGTCGAAGATGAGTAATACCTTCAGTAATTTGGTCGTAAGCCTTAACCTAACCCTATATGCAATGGTGCTACTTTAGTCATTTTAGATTGGCATGTGGAGCCTATACGTGGTTATATAATTTTTGGAAGAAAATTTTGTGGAAAATGTCGCTCCGGATACTAAGTTATTCGCATAGGTTCGGGAATCACCTAAAGTGTCGTATCTTGGTATATCTAGTGATTTGAAAATTCAAGCCAAAATTAGGTTTATTTTGTCAGAATTGCGACGATAAACCGAGTAATGTGAATGAGTCCGCGCTCCGTTCATTGATAGCTTTTTCTCGTTAAAAGCAATTCCTACATTCAATATAAATATACCTATATAAAGGATTAATTTGTGCTGAATTTATCAAAATGCGCAATTTTCTTTAGTAGATACAAGCTTTATGTTTAAAGGGTTTATCGATGTCTTGGGCAATGTGATTCATTTCAAGAACATTCCGATTTTTCGAGTATTTTTTCGGCTTTAAGTAATCTTTGGTAATGTAAATTTATAAAGTTTGGTTTCCGTATGCGATATGTGATTCCTAAATATCTAGTTATACAGAAAAGAATAAAAAAGACTTAATGTGATTTCTAACAGCCAACGAGAAAGCATCTTCATTCTGTGGTCTCCTCCGCCGTCTTTGTTTCTTTATTATAGCTACACTTTTTTCTTGCCACGTCAAATTTTGTCTGCGCACAAGCGGTCTTTTCAAATTCGACGCCGTCAGGTGAGCACGGAATTATTTTTGTGAATTTTTTAAGTTGATGGTTTTTGTGTATGATTGTGTCGATAATCCCTTTATAATCCGACGCTTGTATTACCTTACAGTGATTTTCTAGTATTTTTCTAACAATACTAATACAAAACTAGACCTATAATAAATCTAAAACGGGAGATACAATGATCCTTATAGATGAACATAATCATTCACTTGTTGGAATGTTCAAGTTGGAACAGGTGAGAAATTAAGTTCATCGAAATTTACGGTTTGGAAAGATACCCAAAATAGTAATTAACCTATTTTTGCTTTTAGCTCTTGTTAGCTTTTATTCAGCCTATATATTGCATCTTGGCTATATAATATAGTTCAGGCCGCATTCATGCAAACTGATTGGATGTAAACAAACTGCGAATGTTGACATCGGGAACTGCTTGAGCGGAACAGACACTACGGCTAAATAAATATGCAATAAATTAGGAATTTCAGTTAGGACATAATGTAGCATTAGATTGGTTTTAAGAATGTAGTCGTGTTGAATCAAAAATCCGGGGGAGATAATGACTGCATGGAGATGTTCGGACCATTCCAAGAAATAAAAACTCGACAAAGATTCAAACAGGGATGTTTCGGATATATTACAGGTAATATTTTCGCTGATTTATTTGTCATTTCAATGATTATTTATTTTGTAGACACATTATTTCTCCTTTTTCTTATTATAACCAAATCATTTTCGCCACGCTAAAAATTAATGTTGGCCCATAGTCGTTAGATATCGAGCGATCATTTATTTATTTTTCTAAATAAAATCTATGTTATGTCCATAATTTTTATTGCCCTTTTTCCTATTCTTCCTTTGTCTGCGCTCTGGCGGTCTTTTTATTTAAGTTTGAACCCGCCGGGTGAGTACTTATTTTTATTTTTTAAGTTTAATGGTTTATGTTAATCATTGTGTCGCTGATCCTGTTATATAACCCGACGTTTGTATATTTTACAGTCATTTCTAGTATTTTTCTAGCTATACTAAAACAGTAAACTGAATAAATCTCCAGTTAGGCCATAGGATAATACTAAACGATTCTCCGCATGCAATTGTTGAACCAAAGACGACGACGTAAACGAATAGAGGCGATCGGGGACAAGAAAATGTTCAGGTTAGAAACTATATATATAGTGTATTCAAATTTACGATTTAGATAAATTCCAAATATACTAACTACCATATGTTCGCTTTTAGATTTTGTTAGCTTTTATTCAGAATATATAAATATATATTATATTTCAGATCGTGTTCATGCAAAGTCACTGGATGTAAACAAAATGAGAATGTTGACATCGGGAACTGTTTGAGCGGAACAACCACTACGAATAAATAAATATACAAGTAGGGATTTCAGTTAGGATATAATATAGCACTAGATTGATAATGATAGTGTGATTGTGTTGAATCAAAAACCTCTGATAAGATATGACTTTGCAAAGATGTTATTGAAAACTCAAAAAAATTTAACTGAGAGGGGATGTTCCGGATATAGTACAGGTGATCTTTTTTGTTATTTGATTGTTATTCTAATGATAATTTCTTTTGCAGAAGCATCGCTTCACTGTTTCTTAATTATATATATTGAAAACATTTTTGCCACGTTTAAAAATATATATATGGACCAAATTAGTCGATTTGACAACTTGAAGCGACCGGTTTTTATTTCATTCTTTTTCTTGATGTATTATATTTGAGCGTTTTTCTCCATAATCGCTTTTTTCCAGTTATTTCTAGCTATTCTATTGCAGTTAGCATAGGTTTAGGCCTACAATGTTGATTCAAATGTCTGCGAAGTGGAAATGTGAAAGTGAAACAAATTAAAGATACAATGGCTACTAGCTAAAGATGAAATAATAATCCAGTTAGGCCCTAACATGATGCGCGACGGTTGATGTCCAATTCCTCAGTCGAAGGAAGGCGATCAGGGATTAATAAGGTAATGTTTATTGATACATAAACCCTACGTGCACAGACACAGGGCAATATATATGTGTACAATCTTGATTAAAGCGAATGTTAAAGTCATTGAACTCCCAATTACGCAAATCTTGACCCATGCGCCGAGAAACGTATATTTGTTGTAAGTTCGTTGATATTTACATTTGAAATAGGTGGTAAATGCTCTTGTTTTTGCTTCTAGCTTGTGGTGTTTGAGTATATGTCTCTTGAGTATAAATGTCAACATGATCAATCGTATTTATGCGGACTATGACTAGGTGTAAAGGTATCGATCAAGATGCGGTTTCAAGTTTCAACCAAATCTTCGGACTATTTCACAGGCAATATTTACTTTTGTGTCTAATTAATACAGTCCCGCGTTATTTACCCCTTTTTCTTGGTATGTAGGAAATTCCACACGGCGTAAATAGTTTTTTCTCTTCGAATTTGACGTCGTCAGCCAAGCACGGCTGCATTGCGCACTTTTTTGTTTAAATTCGTATATTTTGTTTTTTTTTCTAATCCTCTTTTGCTCCATTACAGCATTTCTAAGTTCTTTTACAGTTATATTAATGCAGTTAAAACTAAAATTGGATCTACATGAGATAAACCTAATCATTCAGTTAGAACATAGCATAATATTTAAATGATATTTGGTGTCCGTTTTAGAATCCGATCGACGAAGGATGGCGATCCACACGGTGAAAGCACTGAGGCTCGTTATGACGTTATTTGTATATGAAAAATGATTGTCACCAAATGAAGAGTAATGTATTTCCTCTATGTGTTAATATCAGAACTTTATTTACATATTTATACTATATTTTACTATAACCAGTCGATGAACAACGTGTATTTGTGTAAGTACATTCAAATCCACGTTCTTAACAACTTTTTAACTACAATATTCAGAATTTAGCTTGTATATTGTGAATAGCTTAATGTTATGGCTTCTATCGAATCTATGCAAACTATGACTTGATGTTAGAACCTCTGAATGTTGACACCGGGAACATCTTGACGAAATGCGGTTAAATAAACATGACGTAAAAATCCAGTTCAGTATGTATATAATAGTAGAGTACATTGTACATCGACCATTGAAAATATTTTCGTTGCAGTACATAAAAGTCAAACTAAAAACCTTTCAAATCTAATTCCGTGCCTGGAGAGAGAAGTGAATGAAAGTATGGCGTTGATATTTGGTCGCCGTGTGGCGGTTGATCGCTGTAAACGGGAAGGTAGGTTATTTGTCTCCGATTTTACAACAGGACTCATACGTATATATATTATTTTTCTATGCTGTATTTCAAATCATTTCTATTGTTAAGTTTGGTGTTATTTCTGACCCGCTAAAATGAGTGATTGCTTGAACAAACTATATGGAATGAATCCGAGATTTGCAACCTACCTTGTGAATGTAAAAGGCAACCCGGTAATCGCCGATTTGTTATATGCTGAAAATAGTAAGTCTTTAACTACTGTATTCAATTTAATAGCAGGACTGAAGAGAAGAGGGAAGTGAAGGAAACAAAGGTTTGCCATTGCCCTAGTGGTTGAAATAGCGATGTGAAGTACGATCGAGTTAAATGAAATAGTAGGTTGTTTGATGTCACGTTATAATTTTTCATTGGAGTTCTATTGTAGGCTGAGGATATTATTAGTTATACGAGTAGAGTCCCCTTTCTCAAGACACTGAAGGAATCATCTAAGTGGAAGGACTAGTGCTCGTCCATGAACTAACCGCCAGTGAGGACGACCTGACACCCCCTTGTCCACACTTGCGCCGCGGGTTTATGACTTATACCCCATACCCAGCACTGGTTATTCGTAACTGAAATTAAGTTTTCGAAAGCTTTGCGCGCCATTTAGTATTTACATATATACATCATCCTATAACATACTATCATACATATATACTGTTATTTAGACATACATATAATATTTATTCCACTAATCTCCGAAAACGATACCAGACTGTACCATGAATTCAAAATCTATTTTTCCGGGATTTGCATTCTTCTGAGCTAGTTACAGCCAGAGCCCCATATTTCTAACAGTTATCACGTCAAATTGCCACATATTTCATAATTAAATGGCCATTCAATTTTATGTAGCATGGATTGAATGTACAGACGGAATGTGAAGAGAATGCGAATCTTCAGCAAAACCGGAATCAGAACAACATTGCCGACGGTGAGCAAAATCATGATATCTGTTACTAATATGTAACCTAAATTTATTCAACCTTCATTCATGATGAAGTTTTGGAGTAAAATATATAATCGTAAATTGTATCTGAATCGAGAGGTATTACTATCGTAACGTGTAAAAACAATTCATATATGCTGCTTAGACGTCCTGTTTAAACTGAAATATTATGACACTATTTTATTTTTGCAATTCCTGAAAAATTATTTAACTAAAAGTACCTTAAAGTGTTAATTATACTATTTGAAGCGTGTCCATACTTTGTAATCTTGTCCACCAAATTTCCAAAAACTCGTTATTCTATTGCTCTTATTACTGTTTTTAGTATACGACGTTCCATTATTACAGGATTATAACAAATCAAATGGCAAATTATTTATAAGACACTTCTTTCCAGTTACGAGATTTTCAATTGCAAGGGCAAGGCTATCGAGGTTTGAGCTGCAGGATTTCGTGGAAAGAAGGCGAAACTAAGCAGGTCATAATTAAGCCGATTCTGCTCATGGTAAGTCTCTAATGCGTATTAAAACATAATCCTGTAGATCTTAGCCCTGTTGAAGATCGAAAGTTTGCTCTCGTTCAAGATACGTTTTTACCAAAAAATCAATCTTAAATTTAGGAATACTTCTTGCCTTGTCGTGTGGATGTGGAGTACGTGTTTCCATTTTTAGAGCATTTCGTTATAATATAGTCTAGAAAAATTATGCAATGCCAGAATAACTTTATGCCGAAGGCTAGTTAGGAAGAAGCTGTATTGTTCATCATGAAGACATGTCCAGAAGTCGTCAACTGAAACTGAAACCACTTAATAATCAGCCATCCCGTACCGAGATGCAAATGGTGGATTTAATATTTTATTTCTGCTTCGGCGAATTCAATTTATATAGTCATTGTTCGTGCCATCATACAAGCCATAAAATTATTTTGCTCAAACAATCTTAATGAAAGTAAGTCGAATGCATTTTTCGATATGTGTTTCAGGTTAGGGTTAGGCCATAATTATATTATATTCCTATTTTCCGTATTTTAGTCATTACAAGTTCGGAGACTGTTTGCGTTATTCAAGTGAATATATCTAACCCCTGTCCATCGGCTTTCGTCCCTTTACAGAAGTAGGCGAACAAAATTAGTTACCTCAATATTGGTACACATATTATCTGGAACGCCCATTTTTCTCGAATAGTGGAAACTTGATGTTTTTGTGCCCATCTTACTAACACTAACATAAACACTCGTCAATTCGACCTGTCCGGGACGTCGGTAAGCAACGTACAGCTCAGTCCTGCGTGACCCTTACCTGTTTTATATATGAAAAAAAATCTATTACAGGGGTGTCAAACTCGTGGGTTTTCGAAGGCCGCATTGCGTTTCGGGAATTGTGAAAAGGACCCCAACAATTTTGATAATGTATACATGTTTTCAGGTAGGTGTAGTTTTGTGAAATATGCTGTGATCCAACTAAACAGCCGAATACAGTTTTGTTTATTTTTTGTTTTATTTTCTCAATTTTCAAATGCCATCTACATTAATATTTGCATTTCACTATTATTGCAATATACTGTATTTATTACAAAACAACCATCCAAAATATTTTGAACAAAGGATTGATAAGGAAAGAATAATACATATCCTATTATATAGACCTAAAATATACAAAAAATACTACAGAATAAAAAATTTTTTTTTTTTATTACATATGTCTTGACGTTTGGTATTTCTTTTGTGCCACCACCTCACCAATATCAAGCTGAACTGATTTTACAGTACCAACTTTAACCACTTAATGCCGGAATTATGATCCGCTGAGAGAAAAAAATCGCCACTTCGGTTATTTGCTAATTCAAGGCCGTAGAATACGAATTTAAACTTATTTTTTTTAATTTTACCCCCCATTTGGGAGAAAAAATTTTGTCACGAAATCGATACACTCGTCCACGTGATGAATTTATTGTGTCAATACTCACACGTATTGCGACTGATACGAATGGAAATATAACAAATTCAATTCAAAATAAACGAAATCGGACAACAGAAAATGTTCAGTGGACCGTACTGTTGGTCATTAATATACGCCATGGTACCACGCAAAGCAATTTTTGGCTTTGTTTAAGCATAAATATACTCCGCATTTGGTACATCTGATTACCGGCTTGCTATCACACCCAGGGAAACAACATCGCTGTCTCTTAGCTTCTACCACAGGCCAATGGCCAGTGGCGTCGGTTCTAACCTCATTGTTGGGATGTGGAGTAGCTATGCTTCTGATTCGTGGTGGGGTAGTAGACAATGGCCTGCCTCGCTTAAGCGGAGTCGATATTTTCCCAAGCTTGCAAAGAGCTTCTGCCACAGAACTTCGAAACGATAAAAGATCTCGCTGCTTGTTACTCGCAACTCCCAGGGACTCACAATCTCTTCTGTATAGGATCCAGCTGTTTACAATAGCCAAATCAACCAGGTGGAAGAAGATCCTCAGGTAGTACCTTTTTGACCGAATGCGTATTCTATAGCAGGCTATAAGCGCATCTAACAAGTCTACGCCTCCCATGCTACGGTTATAAAAATCTACCATAAAAGGACGAGTCACCATTATGTGCTGTTTCGTGACGTTGTCCCGTCTTCGGACTTCTGAAGTGGGCATGGCGCTGGCAAACGAACTGGCAATAGTTACACTTCGTTTATCATACCACTTCACAACTCTTATTTCAGTGTCCTCAACACATGACGTCTTTTCCTGATAACATCCCTCTATTTTTCAAATCTTTGTCAGATTCCAGCTCGCATCCCAATAACCTATTTTGTCTCGCCGTCCATATACAATAGATCTTCCTTTTGGCGAGAACGGACATCAAAGGTATGGACGTAAACCAATTGTCAAAACAGAGTATGTGATTTACATCATTCTCCACATTATCGGTCAGTTTGATGACTATGTTAGCACTAGCTCCGAGATCAGGGTAACCAGAAACAGGATGTATCTTTCCTGTATATATTTCAAAGTTGTGTACCAAACCATCTGTTCCACACAACATAAAGATTTTATACCCCCATTTGTGGGGCTTTTTGGGAAGATATTGTTTCAGCCCCAACCTCCCAGTAAACGGAACCATCTGCTCGTCGATACATAAAACTTGCTCTTGATGCAGTGGTTTGAATTTTGCTTTAAGCATTTCTAACGGGGGTCTGATTTTAAACAATCGATCTTGTTGAACATCAGAATCGCCATGAAGTAAATCGTTGTTATTGAAATGGAGCATCTTTTTTATTCTTTCCCGTCGATCACGGGTCATTACATCGGCAACGCAGTTAACCTTTGTTTCCACAGCCCAAAACATACGTGTTCTCGGTAGACGAAAAATAGACATGTAAACGACACAACCAAGAAACTTCTCCATTTCTGGAATTGTAAGGTTTAGTTGTTTGGAGGGATCGCTTTGGCTCGCATAGATATTGGTTTCCGCAACTATTTGGTGCATTACATCCGAGTCAAAAAAATATTTGAAATATTCAATTGGTGCTCGCACTGTTTCCGATTCATACTCACGGCCTTTCCATGCAGGCAGCTCTTGTGCTGATTCTGGGTCACTTTCCTGTACAATCCTCCATACGGGCTTCCTACGTGGGATATTGATTCCAATACACACCTCGACTTCAACCACGGAAGAAACTGACATCTCGCCTGACCCTCTTGCTTCCTGATCACTTTCTCCTCCCTGGTCAATGGATATATCCTGACTAGCAGCTTCGTCATCTGAACTTTCTGACAACAAGGCATAGTCTCTAATCTTTTTCGGTGGTACATATTCATCTTCGCTACTGCTGCAGTCACTGTCTTCGCTAACATCCCCACTAGGTGGAAAGCGGATTCTCCAATTCTCCTTCTCATCCATTTTTCATTATTTGAATAAATTACTTCTACCACTAAACAATTTGAAGAAATTCCTGCATATTACTTTAGCCAGTCAATATCAGAAGCAAATCTTGATCAAAATATTATCATTACTTTAGGCTTGAGCCAGTCAATATCAGAAGCAAAACTTGATCAAAATATTATCAGGTTTAGAGGAAAAGACATTATTTTAACTAATTAAACATCACTATGTATAAATTTCGATAACAGAGTTACACATACTTAAAACATATTAGATTATGTTCCTATTTCTGCTCTTCAATTTCAAGTGTCTTGGTTTATGAAAGACAACTTAAACTGTAAACATGGACGGATGGGACGATTTAGTGACAGTTGGGAAAACTGGCGTCAGCAGTAAACAACTAATTGTTAGGCAAAACTCTTTTCTCCAAATGAAAGTACACATAACGGCCTCTTACTGTGATTTTTTTCGACTCTCTGGGGTAAAGCTTTATACCCCAAAAAAGACGACGAAATCCGACTGCTACCGACATCACATTTCAACCGACATCAATGTAAACAAAGATGGCTGACCACAAAATATGAAACATTTGGTGGCGCTAAATAGGCTCAAACGAGAGAGTGGGTACAGACGATTTCGGGACAATCGCCGCTTTCTCTCTAGCTATCCTGGTTCGTACTATGGGGTGCAATAAAGTCAATGTCCCGAAAACGACCCCGTCGTCGTTAAGTGGTTAATTAACGAGGTCACATGATAATCGGTTAATTTGGATCGGTGAGTATGTTTGATCAATTTCATCAATGCAAAAATATTGCGTTTAACACCTCGTGTAGAGATCAGTGAACAAATACACGACCGACTTTTTGGACTAGCAACATTTTGCGACATTTCCTACCATTACGTGGCATTAGGACCGCTTGAGTTATGATTGATATTGATTTTTAGTAACTGGGTAGTTGTATAATTAGATAAGTCCACACCATTATTCAGTATATCCTGTTTATTCTTTTAAACCACGCAGATGGCGATGAAGGACAATGTTGCTCCAACATAAAGCGAGAAATCGACATTAACTGCATTGACTAAATAATCTTCGAGGACCAGAATGCAAAAGGTAAGCATACCTAAGTTTATTTTTGAACTGACTAGTAAGTCAGCAGGACACAATGAGGATTTTTAAACGGGAGGAGGGATTCAAAATTATAATTCCCATTATTTTTCAAAACTGCCAAGGCGATCTTCGCTCGTTTAAAAGAGCCGACTTTTCTGCGTTTGATAACTTTCATGTCACGTAAAATATTAAATCCAAGACAACTACGAGATTCTAAATGGTCATTCAGTATTAATTCAATTATGTCCAACGTAACTTGCGGACCGCCGTATTACGATAAAATAAAATCATTACACAATATAAAATGCCATGGCAATCTTAAGGTATGACCTAAAGGTACGAGATGAACTGCCAGATTTTTGCGATCTTGCAAATTTGTTATCGTCGTTAAAAATCATGAACGCTTAATATAAAATCCCATAGGGTACAATTTTATTTACTACATATTAAAGTATATTAGTGAATCAAAAATACATATTAGTTGCCTCAAAATTGCAAAAAACAGCTTCTGAAATAGTGGCGCTTGTTAAAAAAGATGATTTTTTCAATGGAAATATGAGGATTTATACGTTGCGCAAAGGAATCAATCCATGTTCGATATTCATAATGCATTGCTCTATTTATTTGTGTTCAATTTAAATTGCAAAAAAAGCATACCACAAAAATCCGCTGACATATAAATGTTGGGTAACTGACCAAGATTATCTCTTTCTGTATTTTTGTCATTTTGACCCGGCTCCCGCTCTATTGCACAATGCTGCCACTATTTCTGATTAACCCAGGAATGGTAAATTCGAATTTAATATCCTAATATCACGGTCTTCGAATATCGTTTTTCGGGTTCATAAGAATACCGAATATCGCGCACGTATTTTAGCGCCGCCGTCCACATTTTGATTGAAAACATTTTACAATTACTTTATTTTTATCGTAATCGAAAATTTGTGCGCACGGCAATAAATTACAGCTGACGCGAAAGTGCGCCAGTAAATAAAACATAACAACCGACATGAAACAGTCTTTCGCGTGGTAAAATTTGTTTTGCACCTACAACATGACGCATGGTCGAATAAGTGATGCTTCTCCCCCTTTTACTTCTTCTGAGCCTTGAGCATTCATGTCCAAGTTATATTGCGTCGCGGATCCCCCCCTTTATTTGTCTTTAGCATCTCGATGAATGCATAACAACTATCATCGTTGTCTAGTACCGTACTTATGTTGAGAAAAATTTGTGTTTTATGAAGAATAAACACCGACATAAAAATATTTACGCCCTACAACGCATCACGCTGACAAAAATCAATCGCAATTTTATCAAAATGCAATCCCACTTCCATTAGCGACTTTTAATTTGAAAATTTCAAAAAAACACTCCTAAAACCCTCCTCCAACTGCGCACATGGGTCACACACTGGTCATAACGAATCAATTTTTCAAAATTGTCCACAATTCATATGTCTACTATTTGTTACAGGACCATAAAGCTACAGAAGAGAATCGAACGTTTATAACAAAACTGAAGTAACTACATTTATTAGAACAATATGACTGAAAGTAAGTTCACTTTACAAATATAAATACGAACAAACTTTTCATAATCTTATGTACTCCGTCGTGTAAAGATAGAAGATGTTATTTTCGTTTGCTATAGAACAATAATGCTAACGAACAATAGAAATTATTAACTTGCTTAACTTGCAATAAATAATTATTCAAATTTTTTGAGACCAGTGTTTTTTTTGGGTGTCCATCTTACGAACATAAACACATAACTTAATTTTAGGGGGTGTCGGGAAATCGCTGGATTAGAGTATCTTTACTTAACAATATATGAAAGACGGATTAGAGTATCTTTACTTAACAATATATGAAAGACGCAACCTATCGCAGAGCAACTGTTCTTTATCTTTACAAATGTTTATGTGTATGTATAGACGTAACCTTATAAACATCTATTTCAGATACCTATGAAGAAAAAGAACAAACCCTGACGAAGAAAAACTGCTGCTTTAAAGTTCATTCTCGTATTCAAATTTTATCTGTTACTGCGTGTACATTATCTGTTACTACGTTCCAATTTGTTGTAATTGGCAGTAAAAAGATTTTAATCAGGCTAATAATAATTTAATATTAAAGTAAATTTACTAATCCCAAATTATAATAGTTTTTATCGTGTTTGAAATTTTGTGGCTACCAATCTTTTTTGAAAACTCTCGGCCTAGCTAACAACGTATTTTAGCGGACTGTCCCCCCAAATGCAGCAATGTATGCCACCTGATAGACGTTTCTCATACATGTTAACATTGTTTTATATCAGCGCAAGTTCATGATTAAAAAGTTATGCTGTCGACCACTAAAATGCCGAAAGATACTGAAACTATATAAAACATGGTGGAGCTTAGTGTACGCATTAGAAAACGGCAATTAATTAACTCAAAACCTTTGAAGAGTAAAACGGCTATTTCCAAAGTTGGAAGCACCCATGGCATTATTATGATCCTTTTTTTTTCAAATTCCAATCGCTTGATATGACTCTAAATTAATTCTGTATAATAAATTTTCTATATTTTTATTGATTTAAGGTAAATAGGTTACGAAAAGGTTTTTTATTTTAATGATTTTTGTTTTGTTATGAATTTTGAAGATTTGATAGTTGTAAACAACCTTGCATTATTGTCGTTTAAACATTTAATTGCCAATCTCTTAAATTGTGATGATCGTAAGTAATGACCTTAATAAGAGCTCTAAACTGTAATGCAAAACTGTCAAATACCACTGATAGCAGTGGTTCCAATGGTTGATAGCAGTGGTTCCAATGGTCATTCAAATATGACTTTCAAGTTTTGTTATCGGATCTTCTTTGAGTGAGTTAAATTTTTCTCAACCCGGAGTCTTAGAACATACCAATCATGCTGAATTGTCCGATTTGGATAGTTATTGCATCGTAACTTCATAACATTTCCAATGTTAATATTTCGACTATTCCTTGAACCAGAGAAGGTCGAATTTTTCTCAACCTGATGTCTAGGACGGTGGTTCTTAAACTTTGGTTACGTCCCCTTGAGGTAGCTCTTGCATCATCGCCCATTTCAGCATAATATGAAGTTACAAACATATTTATTTCAAATTATGGATTTTTCATTATCATCATCATCATCGTGGATTCAAATTATGGATAGGAAATGATGAATTTGGACTTGAAGATTTTCTCTTAATAAGTACTTTTTAGTTATTCGTTTAGTTACTGTTTCCGTTGTATAAATTCCTTTTTTATTTCGAATGTTTTATTTTAATTTTTGGTATGTTTTCTGGGTGAACTTGAACTTGATATTGTTACTTCAAAAACTTGTGTTTTTTCATTCTCATGTTAAAAAAAATAAAATATTTTAAAAATACTGAAAATTCCAAGTCTCTGTTGTCGCTAGGGAAGTTTGACAGGCATATAAGGAAGGCCGGATTATTAGAGGACTGCAGGGAGGGCAGGATGCGCTGGCGCGGGTACGGGGGCCGGGCTGCCCGGGCCCGGCCCGGGTGCGCTGCGCTAAAAATTCTGGAAAATTATCTTCGGCCAAAGATAAAATATTATGTTCGGGCATGCATGGCCCGAATATAATATCACAATTTTCGTTATTATTTATCTCTGGCCATGCTTGGCCGATGATAAATAAAGTTCCCCGAAATAATTATCTACGGCCGTACTTGATCGAGGATAATTTTTTTTATTTTGCTACTTTTAATGGTTAGGCTTTAAACTTTGTGACAAATTCCATGAATTCGTACACAGGTTATATTTCAGTTATAAAGGTTATACCAGGAAACTTGGAGGGGTACAAAGGTCACTTCGGGTTTCCACATTAAGTGAGAAAAAATCTGCTATACAACTGTTTTACAAATTATATTTAATTATAATTTATTTATTTAATTATAATTTCTTTTTTAAAAATAAGGAATTTATTGCTTACTTGTACTGCGTTTAAAAAAAATCGAGTCAATTAGTTTTATTTACTGATGATTCACCATAAATTTAGGAAGTTTCGTCAAGGAAGAGGTTTTTTATCATTTAAAATATAACACCCTCTTGTAGGATTTCGATCAGGCAGTCGTGAGATGAAAGAAAAAGTAAAAACAATATCGAACTATCAAAAATGTCAAAAAAAGAATCAAGGCATTGTTAGAATGAAAACTACACTAGTATCAGATTTGCGGCAGTCGTAGAAATCAAACTTGAGTCATTCATGAACAAATACGAGGCTTTGACACCCAGGTTGAAAAAATGTTCAACTCCCAACGTCAGATTTACAAGAATCCATAATTTCGACATCGGGTGGTTCACTTTTGAGACTCTTCAGCGGACACAGTCGATATACACCTTTTTCGCCATTACGTTTCGCTCATTTGAGCTGTAATATCTGTGGAGTAAAGTGAAAATTAGATGTGTATCACTGTATATGAAACTATGTCTCGAAAATGTCACGTCCCACGTGTCCGACATGTTTCGTTTAAAGTGTTATTATTGCAGTGCTTTCGTTTAGAGGCCAAAAAAACTAAGTATCCGGTGACATTTTGCATGCTCGATAATTTTCGACAACGTTTAGTTTTATCAAATATTATGAATTGACTACAGATGCACGCTTTATTCACCTTTGATTCGGGGATTTGGTTTAACAGTCACAGGAAATGGTTATAAAGACGCCGCCATGTGGATTGAAATAAACGATAGAACGCACGCGTAATGTGGTTCGTTCGCTTTCTTTGTATCAAATAAATTTAAGACCTGGCTGATTGGCGTTGATAAGATGATATTATCATCAATACAAACGGAATCTTCGTTAACGCTATATAAATGAACGTTTTGTCTTGCCCAGTTTGTATATTTATGGTTTAAAAATTACAGCAAATCGGCGGTTACCATCTTTGGCGGTTTTGTTACATGCATACCGCCTCGCGCGTGCATCATAAAGGTGGCATAGAAAACTTATCTCATACACATTTCTATCAATATAATATGCGATTTTTTTATCGACCGATTCTTGATTTTTACTAAGTTTACTTAAATGATTAGTCAAAGAAAATTTATCAAGGCAATTAAGAAATGAGCAAATCTCTCACATCTACAAAAACGTCCGAATTGCAGATTTATATTACACACGAGAAATTTTTCCGACTTATTACTTCGGTACTTTTTACAGATTTTTTGCATAATTTTTATAATGAGATTCTACTTCCTCGACGTTGGAATTATACAGATTGTACTTTTTATACAATATCGAATAATTCAACAATGCCTTAATACCAAAAATTATTAATTGATCATTGAATCACATTGTTAAATGATTGTTTCTAATTGGACTATATATGCAGTGGCGTAGCATCCACCCCCGCAACCCCCGCGGTCGCGGGAGGGCCCACAGCGAAAAGGGGCCCAAGCGGTTAGAATTAGGAAATTTAAGCCGCAAAACCAAAAGCTGCATTGCAAAACCAGTAATGCACATCTCATAACGTTGATGTTAGTTCTGCTCAAATCGTTTTGTTACGTAACAATGCCAGGGAGTCGTCGACGTAACAATGCCAGGGAGTCGTCGATTTTCGGCGTCTTGTGGTTTTATCGCACCGGCAAAATCACGAAGGCTGTCAGAACGTCGAAAGCAAAACCTTTCAGTGGCGCACAGAAACACAGAAAAAGGGCAGAAGAGGAGGCACGTATGGAAAAAATTAAAGTAAACAAGAAAAACGGCAAATTTTAGGTTACCATTGCCTTTTAATAGCGACATGTTAAGCTTTTTGACGAAATAAAAAAGGGGTTGCTTTAGCTTATGTCCAAGAGTTTTTAGGGTCATTCCCACGAAATATTTTTGCGGGGGGGCCCACGAGAGTCTTGCTACGCCACTGTATATAGGTAATAAATAGGCATCAGTTCAGTTGTAAAACCGTCTTGCATTTGACCCGAATACTATCATATTATACAATGTTTAGTACAAGTACATTCATTTAAAAAATATCGGTCTCTTGTCCCATTGGGGCACGTGGAACAAGTGGGAACACGACAATTTGAGGCACATTATATGAAATGATAAACTTTTTTTTCTGTATACGCTTTCAATAATTGAGGGGGGAGGGGGCAGTGGCCATATAAAGACAACGATTTTAGACAATGTACATCACGGGAATTTAATACGAATACTGGGCGCATTACGGAACCTAGGACAGATTTGGATATTAACATTTTTCTGTAAACTGTCGGCGAATATTAGTGAATAAAGCGCAAATATATCCTTTGCATACATGGATCCAGTCGGATATATCTTTTGTATACATGGATCCAGTCGCTACTTCAGCTTCTATTGCATTATAAAAACTAACTTAGGAGCCTCTTTGCAGCCCAGCTATGGTTCGCTATCATATCACATCTTTGCACATTTCCATTCCTGCAACGGAAAATATAGGGTTTTAAGTCGCGCGAAATGCTTGGGATCTTGACTATTTTCAAGTCGCGAGGACTTGGGCAATTAAGACTTTTTAGATTAAGAAATGCATTTTTCCGCTCGCTTAGTATCGGGGGCGGGTATTTTGGTATCAGGTTATCAGAAAAGATTATTGATATTAATTTTCGAGTATAAATCACATTAAAATCTTACACGAATTAAGACCCCAAAAATTAGATTAATTGATGAGATCAAAACTAGAACTTTTCTGTTGCATCTGCCCGTGATAAGTTACTATTTCTATATTTCAATTTATGTTATATTCTTGATATGTCTGTGTATACAATAAACGAAAGTTCTAGCGCAGCAATTGTTTGATAAATAAGTTAAAAGTTAGCAGTATTAAATGAAAGGCAATTTTAGAAATACAAATCGAATTTTTTTTTAATTGAATCTAATCTCTCATGTAATTGTATGTGACGTTATAATATCTTTTTAACTAACAAAACTAGGAGTCGCCACAAACAAGATGTCAGCGATTCGAAATTTTTGTTTAACCGATTTGAATGTCCAGCGTGTAATGTAATTATATTTCCGATCCCCATCGGCTCATCACATGATCGATCAGTATTAGGTTATTGTCGAATAAACTTACTTTAGATAAAATCACCAGATTCTAGTGATTTCAGTCATGCTGAAGACTTCTCCTTTCCCACATGTCTGCAAGATTACAATCCTGCAAAATTGAATGAATATTTCAGTTGAAAAATACACGGCCTTGTCTGCTTCGTGGCTTAGGAATAAACGAGACGTGAAAATTGCAATGCATGAATTTTGGGAAAATATAACCTATATATACCTCTTCATATGGACAGTTATAAATTCTGACTACAAACAAAGCACCATATTTTGCTACTTTGAATGCAGTACTTGAAAGTGATCACTGTAATCTTATACATCAAGTTCCAAGCCGGGAAAATATAACTTACCAATTGTAGTTATGTCTGTTGACAACACTTCTTCCACGTTGTGACTCATGTTGCAACCTCTATATGTCTGAAATTAATTATAAACGATACAAATTAAATATAAAGTGTAAACCTTCCGCAAGTGAGCAGAATAAATCATTATTTGAAGCTACATTCTTACATATACGAAAACAAGGCTATGGACGTTGAAATTGAATGATTTAACAACGTGTGAAAGTCACTTGGTTTGGTCACGAGTAAAGCACCCCCTTTCAAAACATTTTACTCTAGTAACTTTACTCAGCATAAATAATCTTAATGGTTGAAGGAAAACCTATACACAAGGGCATTTACAAAATACGAAAATTGAAAAAAACATAACCGATATTGCAAATATATTATCCAGCAATACCAATTTAATACTTACCGAATGTTCATTCACAACATTTCCTCAGGTAGTTCCCAATTTCGGCACCCTGCAACAATACGATCTATTATTCGAATCCATTCGATGTAGCTAAAATGCAATTATAAGCTGATGAAAAAGATGGTGCTCCCGTAGTATGTGCACCAAGATGGCGAACAACCTGATAATGATAATTTGGTACACATACTATGTTCAAATTGCGCGCCATCTTGGAACACAAGAGAGCGCCCAAAAGATAAATGGTGAGCGAAAATCCATTTATTAGCATATTTTACTTGTATACTTGCAGATACATGTTGACCGCTGGTTCACGCCATGATATGTATTCACAATTCTGGAATCAAGAAATACACAAGCAGCACAATTACCGACATAATCAGATCACATTTGTTCGGTGTCAACCATCTTTCATACTAATCGCCGTCCTTCCAACTGAACGATTGATTAGGTTATCTATTGTAGATATAAATTTAGTCCTAACTGCATTAGTATAACTGTAAAAGAACATAGAAATCGGCTGCAATGAAAAAAACGTTATGAGTATCTAAAAGAATTAGCAAAGAAAGAATGCACAAAATACACGACGAAAAAGATGTCGATAAAAGTACGGAATTAAACAGTTTAAATTTGAAAAACTACATGCGCCGTGACGAGTTTTGACGTATGTATCAAGTAAAAAATAAATCAAAAAAACAAAGAAAACGCGAGTCCTGCAATAAAAGTTCTATAGTTCATTAAAAAAGTCGAAACAAAAACATCACCTGTAAAGTCCTGGCAGATTTGAGTAAAACCGAGGTCATTACATCCAGTCATAATTTGCATAAATGTGATCGAAAATGTAACACTCGTATCTAAATAAACGTCAGACTGAAAAGCAAAAACATGAGCACTTAGTACATTGTAAGTCTATTCAAAATGTAAATTCGAATACACTTACAAATTATATTTTTCAGCTCCTGGGTCCAGTTTCGTGAGCAATTGAAGTTCTTTAAGGGATATATTAAAATATAATACAACGACACTGACAGAATCTTAACCACTCGATTTGGTCAACAGTTACCTTATTGATCCTTGATCGCATCTCTTGAACTAAATTTCCAGGAGTCTTCGATTCACCAAATAGACACCATTCGTCAATTGTAGTCATTGCATCTTACGTTTTCGTTTCACTTTAACATTTTATTCAACAATTGTAGGCCTAAGTCTAGTCTTAACTGAATTGGTATAACTGTTAAGGTCTTAGAAAAGCGCGGTAAAGAAAAAACTCTTTAAGAATATAAGATAGACATCACACATCAAGGAACAAATTTATTGAAAATCGGGATAAAAACGTAATCACCGGACGTCGTCAAATTTGAAGACTGATAGAGTCCGGATAAAAATAAAGGTTTGCCATGGTTAGAAATTATTTGGATATAATAAAAAAAAAAAAGTGATGTTCCAGCAAAAAAAGTGATCGTTGGAATGGAAAAATTTCAGAAAAAAGTATTACCTGTAATAAATCCGCAAATCTCTGCAAAGGCGCATTTTAGTCGATTTTCAATTCAGCAACGATGTAGATCTTATTTATGAAACATCTTTGCACTGTCATATCTTTCCCGGAGCATATGATTTAACACAAATACGCTCCTCAATACCGATCTAGTGCTAATATTATGGCCTAACTGAAATAACTAATTTTGTAATTATTTATTTGCAGTTCTTGTTCCGCCCCGACTGTTTCCGATGTCAACATTCGCAGTTTGTTTACATCCAGTCAGTTTGCCTAAACCCGATCTGAACTATATTATTAGACTCAAATGCAATATACAGTCTAAATAAAAGCTACCAAAAGATAAAAAGCAAAAATAGAGTAATTAGTATATCTAGAATTTATATAAAACATAAATTTGAATACACTTTAATTTTCTTACTTGTTCCAACATGAACATTTTCATGTTCTCGCTCGCCTGCATTTGTTTCAGTCTTCGCCACGTATTTGGTTTGTGAATCACATACCAAGAATTATTTAGTACTATGCTATGGCCTAACTGAAGAATTAAGTTTATCTATAATAATAATTGCATTTTCCATTTTCGCGTCACGTCAACAATTCTAGAACATCTGATCCCAATTCTAGCCATAAGTTTAGTTTACCTGCATTAGTATAGCTATAAAATACAATACAATGAAAGGCGATACAAGCATTAGATTATAAAAAGATTAGTGTCACAAGGAAGCATATAAACCATAAAACTTGAAAATTCGTAAAAAAAAATCAGTGCTCACCCGACAGCGTCCAATTTGAAAAGACCGTCAGACGCAGACAAATACTTGACGTGGCAAGAGAAAAGTTTGGATATAATAAAGAAACAAAGCGGGTGGAGAAGTTACAAAATGCAGATGCTTTTTCATTGGCTATTAGAAATCACATGACCAGGTGACGCCAGAAAAAAACGAAACAAATAATGACGTGATATAATGATCTGTATCAGTGTGGGCCAAGATGGTCGGCGTTTGGGGCCACAATATTAATTTTGTGTTAGTTGTGGGCCATGTTAGTCCCGATAGATTTTATTATTATTTATCATTAATAAATGATTCTACATCAACAATTACGTCGGTTGCTTAAAGTCTCCAACAGGCATCCAATGTTTCGTCGCCCAACCTCAGACTCGTTACAACGTAGAAAGTGCTTTCGTAAGTGAAGCCTTCCCCAACATCGATGACATTCTCACGCGAAATCTCTCCTAATTGGCGTTTTTTTTATTATATTCTTTTAGTACCGACACAATTTGCAGACACATCAAGCATTGAGGCTTCGTTTTTTCTCAAGCAAGTACTTTTTCTTCCATATCGAATTAAAATTCGCTTTGAATTGGTCAGCTTCCTTTTCGAACTCGACTTATAAATCACTGCAGATTAATCGATTACCAAATTTCGGCAATTGTGAAGTAGGCTACAGCAGCGTATCGTGACATTAATTGATATTTACTAAATACTGACATATAGGCACCGATTTTAGTGTTACTGTTCACTGATACTTATTTTTCTGTGAACGCTATTGGGATGTTGTTAACGAATTTGTGGAAGTTTTAAGTCATTCAACTGACGGACTGTCTAAGCTGTCCATGCCAAAAATAAATTAAACTACGTTAGCGATGCGACAATGTGTCAGAAGATTTTTCCGTTTATTTTTATAACAAACCAAAATGCTATTTTTTGGTTCACCAATTGTTGCCTATGTCAGCTAATTACAGTGGGGTCCTATGGGGCCCGCGGGCCTGGATTAAAACAAACCTGATCTAGATAATATTTAAAATGTCACATTTCTGCATCCTGCACAACCGAATCATTAGTATTTTCACATATTTTGTCAGTCGCGAGATCTTATTCCAATAGATTGAGATCCACTGAGTTAGAGTTATTGGATAGGATTTACATGTTCATCCCGGAGTAAGGAAAGTTGACAAAACGGCTTAATCATATGACGAACCACGGCCTCTCGTCCGATTACCAGTCCATGTCGGGGATGGGATTAGTTATCCAGTCATTTGTTTCAGATACACGGACCTGAGAACACATTTTTGGAGGGACAAGATTGTCCAGAAATTCTTCAGACAATGAGTGGAATGCAAATGAGATTACATGGAAGATCATTTATGAATATTTGGAACAATATAGGTCCAAGCATTGAGTCCTAACAAATTCCAGAAAACAGTGGTAATGTCCGTAACCGTAAGCGTTGGTCACCAAGAACGGCGCTGATTCTGCGATCAGAAGAAAATGATTTAATTATGACAAAAATCTGGATAGTTTTATCATAGAATCGATTCTGTGCAAAAGTCCGGCGTGCAATAAAATGCTATAGAAATATCCAAGGCAATTGATTCAGCTCCACCACTCCGATCCAATGCGCGTTACATTCTTCCAGTTCTAACTGTAGAACCACATTGATTGTCAGATAAAAGACCACGTGATTCTAACTGATATATTTATTTGGAATTGCAAAAGTTCTAATTCGAATAAAATCATCAGCTGATTGATGTAAAATGATCTTTATACATTCATTGCATATTCCCATATAAACAATCTCTGTTGATAAGAGTAAATATTTTCAAATCATATTGAGGGGCCGCATGAAAACATTTCGCGAGCCATATGTGGAGTACCCGGTAAAGACTTTCAGAACGTTGGTTAACATCGTACTCTTCCTACCAGCTGTTCATGTATTACTGGAATAAGCCTGGTTGGCTATTTAAGAGCAATAAAGAAGTCGCATAGTTCCTAAGTACTTAAGTTAGTTCGTAGGTTCTGGAATCTAGAACAGGCACAGGCAAAGTACCGCCAGCGGGCCAAATCCAGCCCGCTAGGTAATTCAATCTGGCCCGCCTGATGCTGCCATCACAAAACTGAAACCTAAAAATAGCTCAAGAAATTAGTTGAGATTGCTATTAAATTAAGTTTTGGCACGAGGATTATTGTTTCCAATTTCGCTTTGGTAACACTGTAAATGAAAGTTTGTTCATAAAATGTAACTTTCACGTTACTCTTACATGGTCCACCAGACTAGGCGGGCAAAAATTTTGGCCCCTGATTCAAAAAGCTATCCCACCCCTGCCTAGCTATTTGCCTTAATTCTACTAATTTGACGTTAGGTTGGAATCATCACAAGCAAATATTTGGCTCAGCTACGAGGTTGGCGTGCCCGTAATAGTTGTTAATTCATTCATGCAAACGGAGGGGCAATCGTTAAATACTCTACATTACTTTAGATTTTTTGTATGATTCAGCGAGGTAGAATTTTCAAATTAATGGCCTAATTTGTAAATGCAATCAGTCAGCTTGTCGACTTCTGCCGTTATGCTACCCTTTCGGAAGCGGAAGCGCTAGTGAGAAAAATATTCTCCATTGGCACATAAACAAGTTTTGATGTAATTCTGACTTTCCGAAAATGCGCAATCGATCCTTCGATGTTGTCGCTCCGTGTTTTATCTCGATTGTCCCGGGGTGATATCGCGCCTTTGAGAATCACTGCTCTTGCCTAAGCAACAGATTCAAAAAACTCGACTTGATGATAGTGGCATAAAAACTTCATTCAAGGTAATTTGAGCAATTTTTATAGATGGATACATCGTGATAGAAAAATTTTGCTTTAACATAAATAAATTGCAATATATGGTTTGGTCAAATATGACTTTTGGTGCTGAATAAAAAATGCAGTTGTAAAATAAATAAAAATAACTGCAATATACTGGGTAAATTCAATATGATAATTCCATTATAAAGCAAGTGCAATATAAGTTATATCTAAGAATTTAGTCTACTCAAGCATGGGCCATAAATGATTATTTCATTATTATACAAGTGCAATATGAAGTATATATAGCAAATTTGTCTACCAAAGTGTGGAAATGGATTGCTAGGTTTAGATAATTTTTTATATGTATGGCTTATGCTTGATTCGAAAATAAAAATATCAAAATCTCTTCAATATAATTCTCCGTTATCAGCATACTTTGCATCCTTTTTATGAGAGGATCTTAATTGAAAACGATTCCATACGAAGATTCGTATAATGGATAAAACTATAGGAAAATAGCACATGAAATTAAACATAACTGAATGCAGTTGGTCAATTGCAATTGTGTCAGGTTGTATGGCATCTTTTGATGAAAATTCCTCTTTGATGATGCCAGATTCTTTCAAAGAATCATAGTCATATCTATAAAAAAAAAATAATTCAAATTTTGAGAAAGTTGCTCAAAATCAATACTCTCTAAGAAAAACGTCTCACTCAAATAATACCATTCACCCATAAGTAATAAAAAAAAACATGGTTAACTTTTGGCGTTTATGAAGTGAATATCTTACCTATTCAATATAAAAACAACTATCATAGGTGCAAGAGAAATAGCTGGTTTTGTTACCAATGCATTCGTTCCAAATATCATTGATGATCGTGGTAATCTGTATAAATAAATGATTGATTGTTTTTGAAACCGAGAAAATATTAGGGCCATAGTTATCAGATTATCACACTTAATTTAGGAAAGTAACACTAGGGCCATAGTTATCAATTTATCACACTTAATTTAGAGAAATATTACTAATTATTGAGATTGGAAAGTGAAATAGTTACCTGTATATATCCTATGATTGCAGCTGTACACTGCATTTTGTAATGTCCCTCATGTTACATGAATTATACAATGAAAACAATTTCCAAAATTATAAAAAATCTTACTTCAAATTATGTATGGCCATGTCTTCATCAATTACATCGGCGATATTAATACTTGTAAAATTTGCAGCAATAGAAGGAAGAGTCCTGGTAAATTGAAAATGTTATTAGACTGGTTCAAACGTCGTGCATCACACTTTCACAAAATTATAAATGAATGTATTGTATGACAATTTTTTATAATGAATAATTAATTTAAAATATTTTGGATTTGCTTCAATTGTAACAAAATCATCCAAGGGGATTGCTGGACTCTTCGTCGCTGCATAGTGGTTTTGCATACCCGCTGGTCGGTAACAGCTTTCTCCACCATCAAGTCCATGCTTCCGAAAACAAAATAACGGCTAACTAATCCCATATCTGACATGAACTGGTAACCGGACAAGAGACCATGGCTCGCCATACAATTATGTCGTCTTATCACCTTTCCTCTCCTCCGAGGTTTCCCTATTTCCGAGATAAACGTTTCCCTATTTCCGAGATAAACCCTATCTTATTCTAAAAGTTTGAATGAGATTTGATTTCCCAAAAATCTGATAAAAGTATCCTCTGCAGATCGGTGTTAATATTTCCTAACAAAATAAGTAAAAATGAACAAATACTTACGTTTCTAAAACAAGATATAGAGCAACAAAATAATAGTGATTCCTCCCAATAAAATATTGCGCAATTGCAAAAAATATTTGTGCATAAAATGTGGCCATGATAATACGAAATGATCCATACTTTTCAATAATACTTCCACTAAGAATAATAACAACCTGGAAAATATTTACATTGAGTTGCAATTAAGTGTTTCTTCTAAAAAACCAAATCATCAAGCTATTATGAAAATATACAGTGGTCAAGTCCAGCAGCGAGTCAGCCGAGCGATTACGAATTGGATGGTTTGAGTCACTTCGAGTCTTTGATAAATGCAGTCTCACTCAAGTCGAGTAACTCACTCGAGCGTCTCCAACAATTGAATATACCAAGGATATGCAAATACTATTTGGTTGCAGCCCCCAAAAATGATTCCAAAAGTCATGTGACCAAAATGAGTTCCATTCGTATAAACCTCACTCCATATAAATATTCTAATCTTCTACTAAAGTATTATATTCATTACAACCCAAAACAAAGCATGAATCCCACTTCATATTATTTCTTCAACTGTAAGATCCCTCCTAACTGTAAGTCAGAACAGTAGTAGAAGACAACATTTTTAAGATACCATGAAGAAGATACAATACTGATAGAAATATTTATCATTGATAAGATGTTTACACATACCTGAGGTAGTATGAATGAAGCGCCATAAATAAAACTTCTTTCAAAGGAAGATAAAGCATATTTTGGAATAAGGTGATCAGCAAATATCAAGAGAAAATTTGTACCAAATGTCTGATGAAGTACCTGTGATAGATGGATATAATACAAGTTCTTTCAACCAATGATATTTTTAACTGACGAGCCTTTTGCTCTGAACAAGACTCCGCACAAGTAGCCACTGGTAAGTAAGGAGATACTATAGTTTGGAAGAACTGGAATTTTTCAAATTCAGTAATGCCTACCCAATTTATTACCCTGGGTGAGGTGGTGAGCATGAGATTTGAACCCGAGATTTTAATATGCGATTCTACAATAGTTAAGCCAAAGGCTTTAACTACTAGGCCACTGCCCACAGCGTTTATAAAACCTACCAATACTGTGGATCGTAAAACAAAAAGTAAGCATAGTGCAATATATAGGTATCTTCATCAAAATGCTTTAAAAATAAACAAAAACTCACCTGAAAAAAATTCATGATTACAAAACTCAAGAAATTCTTATTGCATAAAATTTGCCAAGTAATTTGACAAGCTGCTTTGAAACTCATTTCATCGTCGTGATTTTTTATCTTATAGCCATTTTCAGATCCTGATGAATCTTTCTGCTTTTTAGGCGTTATATGGTTATCATATAAAGTAGTTGTGTTTAGTGCACAGTATCTGAAACAGCGAGTTAAAAAACTATTCAACGACAGAATACCAGCTATCAGTGGTAAAGTTCGGTGGGTAACATCATTAACAAGAGTGCCCAAAATTAGTCTGGATTTCTCGATTGATTGAAAATTCATTGCATTCTATAATTATCCTAGAACTTGTCCGTGCAGTCAGGCACTGGACTTTTTCCATGTAGCCTACTTTGCTGTCTGCAATTAGCTATATATTAATAAAAAGGGACTCCCGAAGTATGTGAACCAAGATGGCGGACACCAGAACGTAGTATGTGCACCAGGTTAGGGTGAGGCCATAATTTTATTCCAATTTATCCTATTTTAGTTCTATTACGAGTTCGGAGACTAGCAAAGTGACACCCGTAGGCCGTAGTATATTTATACCTGAAATTATGGCCCAACCCTAACCTGGTACACATACTACTTTCCGATGTCCGCTATCTTGGTTCACATACTTCGGGAATACAAAAAAATACAGCAACAATTTCAGACAAAAGGGATACCTAACTATCGCTCAAAATTTTTCATGAAATACACTGTTACTTTCATTACCATTCCACATATTTCTTTACAGAAAATTAAAATCTTCATATTAACACAAGAACTACCCGTCAACTTACCGTATAAATAACCATGATATAGCAGCAATAAAAATACAACAAAGTTGTAAATTGAATAAATTCTCCATGTTATTCGATACAACACCAGTAATAAAAATACTGCAATTTCCTAGGACTGAAGCAACCTGAAAAAATTCAAAATAACAATTGAGGAGAAAGTCAATATATGGAACTTAAATCAAGATAAAATGATGACGCTTTTTTCATTAGTCATGGCATACTGGCATCATAGATTTAACAGGGACGAAGATAATTTTTAAGGGGGTGTGAAGCTTATCTTATATAAAAATATATGTTAGATTCGATCTTGCCCGCTTTATTTTGGGTATTTACATTTCTTTATTGTTTATAGATTGCAGAGAGCTGTTGTGACAAATTTTGATTGTTTTTAAAACTTTACATTTATTTCATTAATTTACGTTTCATCCTCGTATTTTCAACATGTTTTTTGAATGAAACATACTTTTGCCTTACTATCTGTTATTTGTAGCTTATTGTCAGCTAGAGATTTTTGGGGGCGCAGCTTGAAAAGATTGAGAACCCCTGGTTGAGAATAACTGTTAATCTTTCCAGTTTGGCATTGACTACACAGTTTACTACTTTCTGGTTGAGGTGATGGTCATCGGATTTAAACCATCAAGCCAAAATGACTAAAAATACAGTACCGGTACCTGATTATATTTGATTAGTCGTAATCTGTCTTCATGTTTCACAGACATTTCAGCAAATAATGCACATTGTGATAGAAGTACAAATGTGTAAAGAGCGTCGTAAGCAAACAATGATATCATCAAATGCATCCCAGAAATCCAACTTCCTGGGTCTAAAGCAATAATATAGGGAAAAAATTGTTTAAATAACCCAAAGCATTGCAACCGGGGCTGTGGAGGTCGGTGTCATATTTTCAAACTCCTCGGAGTTGGAGTCAAAATTCAAAATTTTTCAGAATTGGGAGTCGAAATTGCATCGACTTTCGAGCGTGACAAAATTTTCTACTGAACCTCAAAAACCTAATTTCCAAAGTATTCCTAACAATCAATTAAAGAAAGCTTGATTATGTCAAAGTCGTTTTCGAAGCTGGAGTTGAATTTGTTTACAACACTAAGTCAGAGGAAGGTCTTGATTGTAGAAAGGTCTTGTCATAGCTTGATCAAATTGGGTTAAAATGGTCAGTTCTAGTCATATCTCTATTGTCTCATAGTGGAAAATGATGAATTATATAAACAAAAGTTTAACCAACTCATACCTGATTCATAATTTGTCCATGGAAACCATGGTAACAAATACGACAAGACCCAAAGTGGTGCCCCATAATAAATCGCTTTTTGTCTGTTTCTACAGAAATCTCAGCTTGATTTTTCTTGGAAATATGCAAACAGTGGGTCGTTCAATGCATTCCATATCATATACACAACCTGAAACAAGATAGGATTTACATATTTATCCCGGTGGGAAGTCGATGAGACAGCTCAATATTATGGCCAACCATGACCTATCGTCCAGTTACTAGTCCATTGGTTAAAATGGAGGAAGCCGTAACCAATCAATGGTACGACGGTATATGACGGAGTGAATAATACATCATCAATATTACCATGACAGCAGCAATTATTATCATGAAAACTCAGATTTATGTTTCATTGTTAACAAGGCTGAAAAAGTTCAAAAGTTCTAATTCAAACTTCCACAATCAGTATTGCATCATGAATCATCAATACCTATTTCTGTCAAAATTTTGGTAATTATAAAACATTTGCACTTGGCAATAATATACATATTGAATAGATCTATTTTTTAGTTATTGCTCAGATAACGGAAAGCAAGAAAGATGATGAAACACAACTAACCTGAGAAAATTGAAACCACGGTTCTGACACATGATATTTGTCCAAAAATAGTTTGACGTAATAAAAGTAGAACGTTGTGTTCATCAACCGGGATGCAAGAGTTAACGACGAAAACGCAAAAGCATTTTTATCCAAACGCATTATTTCCCCTGAAATTGTCTTTACAAACAGGTGCTGCTGAAGCTTATATCATTTTGTAGAGTTCATTTATAACGGATACAATGATACACACAGATATAAACAAATTGTAGACGCCCGAGGACAATTATAAAAATCGAAGACACACGGAAAATGAGAAGAAACGGAACCGGTTTGCAGGTTTGTTGACGTAAAACTTACTCATGCATAACCGATTGCGCAATACCTCAATTTGAGTGGCATTTCTAAGTTTGCACAAATTTATACAAAATGAAAAAAACAATTAATTTTTAATTTGTAGAATAAATAACTTGACTTTTGAGCAATTTTAATCTTTTTATGTATTAAATTTGAGTTGGGTTCAGGGTTTAAATACTTGAATGAATGAGAAAAAGTCCAAAATTCTGGTGGCATGTTAGTGATACCACAATACTGCAATAATCATGCCACGTCTACACTGTTTTGCTGATTTTGCTAATTTGCAGAGTAGGTTGCTTACAGATTTCAGCGAACGTTGCGAGTTAAAACCGTCGTTTTATTACAGGTTATACAGTATTAAAATACAGGTAGATTATTCACCAAATTGTGCTTGTATTATACAAGCCTTAAAAGTTATTGGCTTGATTTGATCGGTGCCGGTAATAATGCCATTTCACAAAAATGCAGTTGCCTATGCTGCAACCAGTTTTGCATCGTCTATGATGAATTCCATCTTCTTCTTCTATTACGTGAAACTTTTTCTGGACAGATATCACGTCTCGGAGCCATGGTTTCAATTTGCACAGGTTGGTAATCCAGTAATCAGGGCCGGTTTACAGACTTTTCGTCGTATCTCTTTCTTAAATTAATGATTGAGAATATTAAAATAAAACATAAGTTGTTGCATACAGTACTTCGAATGGCATGTTTGTGTTTTTCCACTTATATTCTGTGTCGCAAGGTGAGATTGCCAATGCCCAGATGTAGATCTTAGTATGTCTCATGTTTAAAACCTCATTTAGGTTTAGTTATTGCTATTATCTTATTTATGATATCACTATTACAGTATTATATATCATTCTTACGCTTTATTTTAGGTTGTCTACATGTTGTGGAATGCAATCAATGACCCACTGTTTGGTTATTTCCAAGATCAGTCAACTTGGGACTTTTGTAGCAATCGACAAAAATCTATATTATATGGTGCTCCCCTCTGGGCCCTTTGTTTTCTGTTACCATGGTTTCCATGGGGAAATTACGAAGAAGGTGGGTATTTAGTATTGTTGTTTTCATGCAAGACGGCACAGTTCCCTGATTCCAAGAATAACCCCCATATTAAAAGACATCAATTATAACTGTGATTGTTTACGAGACAGTTTGGGCCTCCATACTGCTGTACTGGCAAAAATAGGCAAATCAGCACTGCACAACAAACTAAAAGGAAGCGCAATCTAAAAACAATCTTTTTTAAGGTAACTGGTTGGCAGGTGTACATCTGATGGTGACATTGTGTGCATATGATGCGCTATTAACATTCGTACTTTTGTCACAATGTGCAATTTTTGCTGAAATATCTGTCCAACATGAAGACAGATTGAGACTTGTTAAGTATAGCCAGGTAAAATTATAATTTGTAAATTGTTGCCATGACAACATTGTATATATAAGAGAGAATGTATGTTGCCAATTATGTAGGATTGTATTCAAAACTGAGAATGATATTTATAAACATGAAAATGCTATTTAAAATGCTGATTTGTTACTTTAAAACTAGCAAGTCAATGAAAAGTAATAAACGTATAGTATTAGTTACATGAAATAATTCTATATGTTTTCCTGTGTTCGAGCCTGGTGTTTGTTCATCAATAGGAATGTATGACAGGAAATGCTTAATACGTCATTACATCTAGATTGCATCTGCGATGGGAAACACTGGTGTCTTCTTTTCCGGAATTGTTTCGGATAACATGAATAATATGTTCAATTTACAAATATATTGTGTGCTTATAGCTCTCATTGCATGGGCCAGTATGAGGTAATTCAATATTTTAAATATTTCTTCACACTCGACATAATAGGATTGAATTATAATATAAAAACTGAAAATCTTATCAACAATATTTTGCTCTACGTTAATATATAATTTGAATAATCTATACCAAGCGGGAAGTATTGCATTCTTTTCTCTTAAACATAATCAAGATAAACATAGCTTACAGTGAACCCATGGTTTTTATCCTTTGCCACTGGCAAAAAATCAATCTAGACTAATTGATCGATGACTCAGACGACTCTCTAGCAATGTTTACTCTACAACAAAGTGAAGTTTCTTCGGGACATGGATGTTTAGCTGGTTCTCCATTATACAGGGTGACCCATTCAGACTCCTATCATTCAGAATTTCAAACCATATCATTCAAAAATTAAATTTCATTTGCACAAAACTTTTGAGCAAAGTGTCCTAGATTACTATTACTTTTGGGAACAATCATGCACAACAGAAGTTCAGGAGTTGATAATTTCGTAGAAGTGATAAAGAAATTTATAGTTCTATTTTCTGGTCACCCTGTAACTTGAGCTTTTTATAGATATGAAGTAAACATCATTCATTGTATTTAACTGTTAACCTACTCCTTTTAGGTACTGTGCATTGAATACAAGGACAATGTATGATAACAAAGGAAAAGAACCTTCGAAAACTCCATTAATTGAACAAAAACAAAAAAGAGAAGAAGAAAAATTGAGTTTCAAAGGAGCTTGCGTTATCACTTGGCAGATTCTGAAAAATAGAAACTTTATCGCTTTTGTTATAATGAATTTCTTTCAGGTAGAAATTTGCTTATTGTTTGGCCAATGAGAATCATTTCTCAATGATATTGAATAAGCATAACCATGGTAACCACTAAGAATGGAGGTTGGTGCCCCAATGCTGAAGTGATCTCTATTTTAGTGTTACAAGAATCCTAGTAGGAAAACTACCGATGTCTTTCCGCTCTAGAGTGAATCACATATCCTTTTGTTAATCATTAGTTACTTCCCTTATAATTCGATTTCTATTATCTAGATTCTAAAACATTCAAGTTGCTAGCTTCTCTTATACTCTAGCAAAGCACCTTACAAACAAAACTTCCTGTCGTCTTCACTGGGATAACCTGTCTTGTAAAAGTAACTTGTGACAAACCTACAGGGACTCCAAAGAAAACAAAGCTCTAAATTCTTTTTTTTTTTATTTTAGGTTCTCCATGTTACATTCGGAGCAAATTTTCTTCTAATTTTTGCCAATCATCTTATTCCACAAGATGTTCTACCGTCAGTTGCAAGAAGTGCTGTTTATGGGGCATCTTTTGTACTTCCCCAGGTATATAATGTAACTTTTTACATGACATACCATGCCCACTATAGTTGTGTAACAAGTGTAATTGCTAGAGACCAGGGTCAACCATAAGTAGTTTAGCCTATTCAATGTGCTTTAATCTAGTTTAGTAGGAGCTCCTGAAGTATGTGCTCCAAGATGGCACACAACCTGAACATAGTATGTGTACCCGGTTAGGATTCAGGTTGTGCGCCATCTTGGAACACATACTTCGGGAGCGCCGTTTGTATCAATCCATGATTGCTATGACCAGGGCTGGAGAGGTGGTTTGAAATTGTGGCTTCAGTCCCATCCAGCTATGAATAGTTATCCACACGGCCTTTCCTTTTACACTACATTAACCAATATAATACTTCTATTACAGCATTAGAATTTTTTTCTATTTTCAGTTGATGATTCTGTTAGGTGGAGGAATTATTGCAAAGTTTGGATCATATAAAGTTATTCTTATATCTTTCATGGTTCAAATATTCCTCGGAATAACTTTGTATTTTGTCGGAAGAGAACATTATTATTTCTTAGCTTTGTTCTTCATATTAGATATGTAAGCCAAAATTCACCATTTTTTTTTCGTATTTTTTACCTCAAGTTTTTCGCCTACATTTCCTATCCTTTCTTTTACAGGAGTATTCCTCATGCAGCTTTTAGTCTCTTTAATATCCCACTGTCAGATATTATTGATGAAGATATGAATGTTAACAAGGCGAGGTAAGTTGGGTTTTCTTTATTGCATTGTGAATATGGGTGCGTTTAGCAACTTGGTTGTTCGTCGCTCAGCGTAGATAATCCACATTGAGCATGAAATGCCAAATTGGAAACAATCAATTCTATTTAAGAATACAGTGAAACTTCAGTAATCAAACAAATCGGTAGTCGACTAAGAAATTCTAGTCAAAAATGCTGCGATACTTGAACAGAAATCCAGTTCTCGAGCGCCGCGTGAAGTCACCCAATGCTCAAATTTATGGACACGAAGGGCCTAAACCAAGTAGTACTAGTATGCAATCTGTCACAGTAGACTACCGTCACGGAAACAGTCCCCGAAGTTTGCGCTAAATTCTCTTTTTTACATAATTTCTTTCAGTGATAACATCATGCCTTTGTGAGGGGGAGCAGATAGGACGACAAAAGCATTATGATAACTACACGGGTCTTAATCCTCTTCATGTACAATCTAACCTTATCAACTATTTCTTTGTATTAAATCAGGTATCCACGATCGTCAATGGTATTTGGTACAAACGCTCTCATCACAAAACCAGCAAATTCATTTGCACCAATGTTAGTGGTGGCTATACTGAACAAGTAAGTTGTAGACTTTATGGGTCTAGAATGGTGAACAATTAACTGTTATCATACCAACAGTTTGATGCATTCATAATAACATTAATCTAAACTGTTTAAAGTTTTTGGAACAAGTTTAAGTTACAAATGCAATGGATAGATTCTTTTCCAAAATTTAGATATCTGTCTTGGAGTAGTTTTGATTGCAAAATTAAATTTTTCAGATATGGTTATGAAGCCCTGAAGGAATACGGAGTGCCAGGAGCCGTAGTACCATCTGGTGTTACTCCTCCTGATCAGTCAGAGATCGCAGAACTCCATAACGTAATGTTTAAAATAATGTGTACTTTCCCAATCGTACTTTCAATTATACAACTGTTAGCCTGGAGTACGTACAAACTGAAGTCTACCCATGTCACGGAGGCAAAATATATGGACACATGAGACAGTTTTTATTACACTGGTGATATTTTTCATGCTCGCTGCCTATATAGGTGTCAGAAAATGAGTGATATTATGTTGTTTTTTTGGTACATTTAGTTATTTTTAATTCCAAGTCTTGTCATCAAGTCAGTTCTCTCAGTATGTTTGTTTTAATCAGAATATTTACTTCATTCAATACACCTTTACATGCCATTAAGTACATGAAGCCTATCAAAGTTCTTATACGTTGAAAGATATTATAATTGGAGCAGTCTAAAAAATTATGCTGAATTATATTTTACCTTAGGATAAGAACTTGTGCTTTATATCTCACAATCACTCACCCATATTACTAAAAAAGCGATTCCTCCCGTCTTGAAAATAAACTTTTTACAAAGATTTCCTCTTATATGTACTTGATGCTGCCTAGCTATCTTTTACACATAATGCTGTGAGATTAGACCTTTGCATACAAAAATTTACTCTTATTTTAAGTTTTCAATTGACTTGACTGCTCTGCAAGTCTAAACATTGAGCACTTACATATTATCTTGCTTTTATGCTTTGAATATAATTATCTGGCAAAAAATAATGTTTATTTTTTTATACCCGGTTTGTCAAGCAGTTTATTTTGCTACACTCCGCTTTGAAAACAGAAGATCAAGCATTCCTTATGGGTCCCTCAACCGATTCTAAGGTCGAGTATAAGAATACAGGGTAGGCAGCAAATGATGTCATGAAGTTGAATAGCCGACAGGTTGCACATGAATGAAAATCTCTGCTCATCCCTGCGGGAATATGAGTCTATTCTGGAGGAAAATTTACTAAAAGCAAGATTGTGCAAAGTTCTGGACAACTACTAAAGCATCAAGAGCTACCTAAGACGACAAAGAATTGGGCATTAGTAAACACCAATTGATGAGTTACCTAAAGCAGTTTGAAATGCCACAAGTTTGTCTTTTCTAGGGTTTACATAAAATACTGCTTGTGAAATGCATTAATGCAAAAACTAACAAATTTTGATTGCCACATGCACAGAAATATAGGGCCACCACTAAAGTACATCGGAGACTATGTTAAATTGCATTTGTAAGGGGTATAGGCTTGCAGTAGTTCAAGTCAATATGATCTGTATACCTACCTGGATGAAATATTTCCAATACTTAGGAATGTTACTAATATGGCTTTCTAAGTGCCAACATTAAATATTGAATACACATGGTACTTGCGCTGGTGACAAGCATAAACTAAACCATCAATTGAAATTACTATGATCTCACTAAGCTGGCAGAGCTAAAAACACAGACACACTGCTGATATCGCTCCTAATCCAATGAATACTTAAGTCTGTCACAATGGAGGAGATCTGTGGTGAACTGAATATTAGTGTAAAAGGACAGGGCAGGATATTCAAAACAACCGTTCAGAGATCAGATGGTATATTATTGTTTATGGAACACATGTGACATATTTTCATAGTCAAACTCAAAAATGTGAATAAAAAATTTAATAACTCAATGTTTAAACAGATCTAGTTCATCAATTCCCCATTTGTCTCCCTCGATAAAATCTAGTTTAAAGTGTTTTCCAGTGATGGGATCTCGTCCACCTTCATCTTTTGTCACCCAAAAATAATGTGGTGGTGCACTTTCCTCACCAACTGTAAGATAAGTAAAATTAATTTTTAACAGATGTCGGTATCAAAAACGTCTAAAACAAAATCAAATTCAATCAAAAATCATGACATCCGATATTTTTGATTTTATAAATTATTCTGAATAGTTTCGTTAAAAGGATTAGCATTTGAGCCATGTAAGTCCTTTTTGAAGAAATTAAATATACACTCATAACAATTCATTTTGGGTAATTTACGCAATTTTCCATATTCAAAAATGGGGGTTTGAATATACTCAGAGAGTGCATTATTTAGTTTGGGCCACCACAATATTATCAGTACTTCAAACGTCCCCAGCTGATTATGGTGATTGGTGTCACAGCTCACAGGCATCACAAAATATATTGCTTAAGCCAAAATTCATTCGGCTAAAGTTACCAATTAGGCTTAATAAAAATGGCAAAAAAAAAATTGCCTGTATAAATATAGCAATATCTAATTTAAAAGTCATTGTAATCATGAACCTTGTATTTAAGAAAATATTCTTTATTCATCTTATTATATTGAAAACAAAAACAAACTTATTTTACAATACATATAATCAAGGACAAACTTTTATATTAGTATGGTATGGAATCTTAATCAAGACTTCAATGGTCACAAAATGTAAAACAAGGATTTTAATAACAATTGAGCAATGTAAAAGTTAACCATATCAAACATTTAGTCGTAGATGTGGTATCTTATCATTACAAGCCTAATAATTTCCTATTCATTCCGAAGGAGAGCTGATACGGCAGCTTAATCATATGGCAACTGTTGTCTGGTTATTGGCCCATGTCAGGCATGGGAACATTCAACTAGTTATTTGTTTCAGACGCATGAACTTGACGGTGGAGGGAACCGCAACCGGCAGATGGTTTTCTGAACCACACTATGACAACAAGGATTCTATCAATCCACTTGCACATAATTATCGATTCACGCCTGCAACCCCGCGCATAAAAATATCAGGTGCATTGTTATTTCGGCGTGTTCCTAATACTTTGCACATTTATTATCATTACTTACGCTGGACAGTGACACATCGCATATGGTTTCTTGATGGCACAAGGAACGGATCACTTTTTGTGCCACTTCCTTTAAGGTTATGTGGCTTATCACGATCCAATGAATCGAAAGGATCCTCTCCCGCTTCATGTGCTCTCTTTTCTATTTGTCTGTATCCAATAACACCGACGTCTGATGAAGCACTGGGCCGATCTGAACAAGCGAACAGATATTTGCTCTGAGCATTTTAGTAATACAAAAACGATTGTAAAAATGTTTGTAAAAAGACACGCTTGACAAGTAGAGTAGAGAAATTGGTGCTCTCGACTAAGTTATATTCATAGGTACAATCACATTTTCCGAAAATGCCAAAAACAAATAAAATATTATAATCTTGCTGCACGCTAACACAAATATACTTCTGTAACGTTTAGTCTCACCAAGCTAACACAAAAAAATTTCCGTTGATCATATTACAATTACTATTTGTTATATTTTATTAGAATTTTTCGTCAAAAAATTTTGATTTTCTGATCAGCCATTGCTGAATGATTCCCGCTAGAGTGTGGGTACAAATAGCTAAAGACACGAACACGAAAAAGAACCAATGTTATCGATCCATTTTATCAAATGTTAAACCGATAAATAATTTCAAACACTGGTACAAAATTGCTATTTGGGCAAACGTTAAAACAAAGTAATATATTAAAAACCTACTGGCATTTAAAGCAGCAAGGTGTATTCCACGATGAGGTTGGACATATCTTGACAACAAGATCCTTGAAAATCTTTGCAAAGACATGTTGGATGAATCTGCAGTCAAGTAAGCCTAGACTACAAAAAATGAATGCCCAAAGAAATTTCTGTATTGATAAAACAACAATTTTTTTAATTTGCCGGGGGGCCAATAACGAAAGCCCTTACTAATTGACATTCCCGCCTACGTGATTTCATTTTCAATTCTTTGACTACACATACATTTATCCCCTTATTTTCGTTTGTTGGCTTTTTATTAAAAAAATATAGAATGAAATAACGGCTGCATTAAAAGGAAAATTAGGTAGGTATTTTTTATAGAAATGCAAGAGGTTATATGTGTTGTAAGTTTTTGGCAGGGGGCCACAGGTGGCCCATTAAAATTTGAAAATCACTGTCCTAGATAGACCACACAGCATCGGCAGAGTGGGAGCACAGCTACAATGGGGGTTCACTTTGAGAGTGGAAGTGGTGACTCCTCTTCGGCCCATGGGCCGGGGCCACGGCCCATCAAATTGGGCCTAGGCCCATCAGGCTATGGGCCGCGGCCCATCAAGTTGTGTAAAGGAACTATTCACTTGGCTAACACAGACAGTCCCCAAACTCATAATAGAACTATAATGTAAAAAATCGGAACAAAATTTTGCCCTAACCCTAACCTGGTACACATACTACAGGAGTTTATTTTTTGGTTCGAATATTGACAATTTTGTAGAAATTGAAAATTTTGGTAAGATAATTGAATTTTTCCTGACGGGGCCGCGGCCCATAGCTTGATGGGCCACGGCCCATGTGGCCCAATTAGATGGGCCGTGGCCCCGGCCCATGGGCCGTAGTGGAGTCACCACTCCTGTAGCACTTTGAAGTGTTGTTAATGCAGTAATGATACAGTAGTACAATAAATGAAAAAATATTTTTTCTTGAAATGACTTAATGCAGTATGGCACAGTTTTAAGATACAAAGAATAGCCCCCAAACTAATATAAGCGCAACAACCGTCATGTGACCAAAATTGTGTTTTTTCTCTAAAAATGCTACAATCAATTTTTTTCTTTGGTAAATTAGATTATTTTTTTCAGAGGATTCCAATGGTGATGTTTTTATATTGCGCTTCATTCTGTCATTTCAGTGCCGATTTGCTATTTTGAGTTGATATAGCTGTATAGAGGCCCAGACTGTCTCGTAAAGAGGGGTTTGCAATCACTGTTGACATTTATGTCTTTTAATGGGGGCTATTCTTGGAATTGGAAACTGTGCTGTACCGGTACCGTACCGGTACCGGTACAGCACAGTTTTCAATTCCAAGAATACTGGAATAGCGGTACCGGCGGTACTGATGTATAAAAACTGGCAGTCATCATTTATTATTCAACACAATGTACAATTTTTGAGTAATGTAGCCTACACCTGTACCGTACACTTCCAGACTTCAGAAAAACAATAAAATCACGAAATAGGCCAACGGTACCGGTATGTGTTAAAAATGTTTTATAACAACATAACATTTTAATTGCAGGATTGTGTGTAGACTTGAGGTCGGATGCTAACGTAATTTTGCTTCGCAGCACTGCTTACTGTTTGTTCCGATTCTTGAATCTCAGTCTGCCAGTCATGAATGATTTATTCTGAATAACCAAATTACGGTACTTAGCTTAATTAAAATTTAACTACTACGGTACGATCTTTTCTTAATTCCAGAGATTTCAAATCTGAATCGCTAAGTTGCAGATGGGAATCTGCCTAAATCCTAAAACTACCACACGGCACCGGTTCGATAAAAAGGACTGCAAGAGGAAGACTGGCAAGAAGAGGACGCAATGACCCCACATCGAAAATAGAAAGGTGACGGGTAGGTGGAGTCCGGATTTTCGGATTTTCATCACGAAAGTCGGAGCGAAGTATTTGAAAAAGTTATTATCATCCAAGAGAGTGAGAGAGAGAATTTAAATTTTCGTCAATTTGAAAAAGATAAAATATATAAATAATTAAAAAAGAAGAATTGAAATTTTTGTAGATGGCTGGTTGGGTAAATGTTAGCAGCCATTAGACCATCAGCCATTCATAAAGGTAAATTCATAAAGGTATCATCCTTCAGAAGGGATGGCGAAATAAGTTAGGATAGGATTTACATATTTATCCCGGGGTAGGGGAAAACCAATAAGATTGCTTAATCACATGGCGAACCACGGCTGCTCGTCCGAATACCAGTCCAGGACTACGACCTTGTAGAGAGAGAGAGATTTTTTATTTTTGTCAACCAGAAAAAAAACAGTTATAACAATAAATAATGGTAACAAAAAATACACTTTTTTCGGTATAGACTGGAAGGAGCGATACGACCATGCGGTCATCGGAGTCAGCTCCCTCCAAGTTTACGCTGATAAGTTCACAGTAAAATATGACTATTTGAAGTGGTTAAAATTCATGAAACAAAATTTGAAAAAAAAAAAAAACGAACAAAACAAAAAAAAAATGGACTAAGCAATTGTTTGTGTTAACATCTATATATACAAACACACAATTTGAATAAACATAGCAATACAGAAAAGTTATAAAACTAACAAAATAAATGTGGTATGATGCAACTAAGAAGCCCATTACTATTTTTCATTTGAAGAAATATTGCATTCATTTTGGACTGGGAGAATAATTTATGAAGGGGTCAGGTAAGAATATTACAAGCATTCGTCATGGATACATATTTTGGAAAATATATGTAAGCGGGATCGGGATGCTATTTATCGTTTTGATATTACATGTGATGTTGTTATCTAATTTACCTAAATTGCCTGCAATTGGGCTTCAAATTTCAATAGCCATCAACATGTGATGATTAAAAACAAAATGAGAAAATAATGTAGTAAAGTAGTAATAAGTAGTAAAGTAATGTAGTAAAGTAGTAATAAAGTAGTTTTTCGCTGAAAGGCTTTTGCGTTTATTTATTTCAAAAATCTCTATAGGTTCTGAGGAATTCGTTTTTTGTACGATTTTGTCTACTGTGACAAATTGAATACCCATACTACTTAATTTTAGCCATCGTGTCCATATATTTGAACATTGCCCTTTTGTTTGATTTCATAGGGTATTGTTTGGGTGGGTATGCTTTCTCGGTTAGCTATGTTCATGGATCAAGATTCGGAATCGAAAATTTAATAATCGAATAAACATCGAATACTTGTGAGTAGTCATACTCAACATCCTTATCCTTCAGTGATACATTCAAGTCATGCTCATTGATTTTCAGTCAGCGATGGGCTTATATTTAATTTCTACCCCGCCGATGTGCAACGATTTATTAAATCATTTTATTGATTAATTAAAGACTTTTTTTGCTGTTATTATGATATTCTTTGGACATGCCAGACTTCAAAAGCCCGCCACATGAACTCTCAAAATGACCTGTTTAGTTGCAAAATTTAAATTGTTAACTTATTTATAATTGTCTAATTTGTTTTAACATCTGATACTAGAGAGAGAGAGAGATGCTATATTCAGACGATTGATTAAATACAGCATATACACAATAGATGGAAGCCTGACTAATCTATAACGGTTTCAAACACTGGTCCATACAAAACGATGATCAATAAATTAGGTCATTTTCTTTAATGGGGCATGTTTATAATGATGCTGGCAATTATTTTCTGATAGTAAATCTTTCTCCTCCATTTCTAACATAAAGGTTCTGATACATTAGTGACTAGACAGCATTCGTGCGCTCCAGAGGTCTCCACTTATCAGTACATTTTATACGCCTTATAAAAGTTTTATTTTAAGAATCGGCACGTCGTGAAGTAATTTCCTTCACTGCTTTAAGTTGTCTCTTTGCCGATGTTGACCTGCATTCTACCTATTGGCATTGTCGTCACATACATTTGTTAGTATTTTTCAACTTTAACACCTTTTATTCATAAGGGTTCGGGATCTTACTTGGAGCAAATTATATAAAAATGGCCAGAGTGTCAAGTGTGACTGTGTTTGTTTGCTCTTGTCACGCCAAGATTATAACTAGATAGCGACCGAAGACCGATGACTTATCGATCGTTCGCAGCGACGAAAATTAGGATCCAAAATCAATATTCTGGTTCTTCTTCTGGCTTCTGGTCCGAGATATGATGAATGCACATGTAAAATTAGGAGCAGATTCAACCTCGCTTTCGTGAGATATCGCTAAGATACTAAAGTGTCTAACAGACAAACAAATACCTATCAACATACTCATCGAGATTGATAAGTATCGACAGTCTACATTAATATTACAGCATTCTTACGTTAACAACTGCTTTGTGGTAAAAATTATATTGGAAATTTTATAGAGAGAAATCATTAACAAATTGACAATAAATGCATTTCATAAATTATATATATCTATAAATTGTAAAAGTTATATATGTGCATTCTAATTTGTTCAAAGTATATAACCGTCTGAATATGGGTTCTTGCGAACAGACTTCTCTTGCATTTTACTTCATCATCTAATTTTGCATCACTGCAGATGCTAAAAACAAACAACAATACAAGTCATTTTCGGAGAATGCTAAGAACAATTCATTAAGACTACAATCAAAATCGTGTGATAGGGCTACTCACGAGTAAGACTATATGTGCACAATTACACAATTCTACGTGAAACACTTGCGCACAGTAAATGATCTTGCCGCGCAAGACTTCACTTGTGGGACGCACTTTATGGAACAAAATGGCGGAATATTTCATAGCGACTACTCTTGACTTGATGAATGGATCTTTGATCTTATTCCATACTTTCAGAACATAATTTAAATTTGTACCCACCGAGACTTGCAGTTAGTATCAGCAGCAAGGTTCCAATTCCAATATACAAATTTTGTTTACTTGTATTTGTTGTGGATGACAGAACCGAGCTTGTGACCACCACGGTTTTTGCGTCAGGAGATGTTGTTGAAATGCTGCTCGTGATTGTATCGTCGGTTAAATTAGCTGACGTACTCAGGTAAGCTGCTGTAGAAGGACTCGATGTGGTTGTTGGAACAGCAAAAACAGGTGGTTCAAAATAATAGTTTGAAATTGCTATATTTGATATTTCTCCAACGTTGCCAGATTCATCAATAGCTTTCACTGCATAACCGAAGCTGCAGAGCAAAACATAGAAAATGGAACTTTCTCATAATAACAATAAATCTATTGGCGCAACAATTTTTAAAATTAATGAATGGAAAAACATCACCTTGCACATGGCAACTCTAGTCTAAGTAAATTACGCAAAATATAGGCTATTTTAATATCGGTAATATAATATTATCAAGCATGATCACGCCATTGTTATTTGATGTTGCCACATTTTGTCCTATTCAAATGAAAACTTTCCTGTATTTTTATTATTTACGTTGAATCGTAGTTTCTGTTCATTTACTGCACTAATAATTTAGCAGAATGTATCTCAACACAAATAAATTACCTTATAGTCGTTACGTTTTCATTCGTAACATTTGGTGTTTGAACTACAATGGTTTGGGTACTTCCCGCTTCTGAGGGATTAGAAAGGTTTCCTTCAAGGACGCTAGCATCGTCAATTTTTGGGCAAGTTTCATAATTAGTCAGAAGCTCGTTGACATCCCTCATAGTGTAACGAATATCATATTCTGAAGCTATTGGAAATAAATAACGGGTATTAGCTAGGATTGCACACGTATTCAATATCAATTGAAAGGCCCGGAAGCGCAAGATACACTTGAATACACTACATATATTGGTATTCCAATTCTTTATATTAGATAATGGTATTTATAGTAGATATTTGGGATACGGTAGGCGTCTTGGCTGTTAGAACTAGGCCCTGGTGCGACTAGGCAATATACCTTTTCCGCTGTCAAAATCGTCCCCTGGCGATGTGAAAACGAGCACAACACCTTGTGTGTAATCAGTGAAATTTTTCTGAGTTGCTTTCAAATCCATCACTTTACTGGGAGCCAATACGTCAGCGTGTGACCCTCCACTGTGAAGTAAGTCATTCATAAAAATGCAATTATAGCGTAGCGTAGAGACATGGTGAATTTCATAACCGAAATTTATTTATAGCAGTGCGAAGGCGCTGATTATGTATATAAATATAATATTTCACATCTACGTATTTTAAATTTGAAGTTAAAGGAAAACAAATATTGGTTATTGTGAATTTGTGACAAGAGACATAATTTTTATAAAATTTACGAAGCCACGCAAATTTTATCATGTTGTGTATTCTATTCATAATTATGACAAAATATTATTATTATTTTGAAGGTAAATTGATACACTCCTACCCAGAAGGCGGAACGTAATCAAAAGATCCAGATGAAATCTGACGAGTAAAATTTCCCAATGATTCCGCTGATATACCAAACGTTGTATTTTTTGGCAGCAATGTTGGTCCATCAGGATTTGGAATAATCGTTCCTTTAATAAAATAAAGAATTCAAACAAATTCAAATGACGAACAAATGCAAATATTTTTTTTAAATATTACCGTTTTCATTTACGTATCCTGGATTATAGGCTGCTGTAGAGAGTCTTACCACACTAGAAGTGTCGTATCCCAGAAAATCGGATTGTACCTTTACCTGTTTGATGAGAAGATATTTAGAAAACAAAATAAAACGTTCAATTATATCATATTAGAATACCTTAACTGAATATTTCCCCGTGTCCGAAAATCCCGTCAAGAACCTTGAATATATTCCATCATTTATACGCACATCCGGCTCTAAAGTAACAATTCAGTTTCAATGAGTAGTTCTGCCTACGAAGGCAATTAAATAAAAATAAATACGTACCTGCACCACGATCCCAAAGTTGAATGGGGGAGCTATTTTCACCGTCAGGCTTCACAACAGTTGCTATTACTGTTGCTCCTAGTACCGGATTCAAACCTTGCGAAACCTTACAAAATCGTACATTTCATGTTACCGGCATTGTAAATTTAAAGTTTGTGAATTTGTTTCCGTATTTAGTGCTTCCTACAATACAAGTTTCTTCAATATTTTCTAAAATCTTTGATATTCGCGTTTCGAATGGAGGAATTTGAAGTTAGGCATAGCCTACTTACTTTTTACACTCCAGTCTGGAGTTAGACATAGTGACATGGCAGTGGTCTGATATAGATTAAATCAATTGTCACTAATAATGGTCACTTTAATAGTGCTCCTGATCCACTAGTCTTCGTATTTATCGCCTCAAGGCGCCCTCACAACCCCCGATTTCGCTCGACCAAGAAAAGTACCGGTAACCGATATCTTTCCTACCTTTGCATAAACAAGCGGTTGGCCTCGTTCAAAGCTCAAAATTGACTCAACAATGATCGGTTCTACTTCATCGCTTGCAGCCATTGATGTCACGACAACTGTTATCGTCTGGGAATTGCTATCTGGCTTTTGTACATAACTTGCCCACGTTCCATACTGCAAAGAAATCGATGACTTGTTAGTACTCGTACGAAATGAGATTTACAAATATTATCCTTACCGCTGTGTTGTCGAGTCCAAATCTTAACGTTTTATAATCCACGTTGATAGAATGTACATCTGGACAAGGATTCGCCGTCATAGATTTATCGTTGGTGTAAAAGCAATTTCCATAGGGTGGAGTCAGCAAAACGCTTGGAGCAATATCGCCGTACGACCATGTATATGTGAAAACAGTGTTTCTGCCAATAGTTTCATCTATTATAATATTGTTTATAAAACTGCTCTCACTGCTTTCTAATCTGTAAGACTCACTGAGAATCTGGAAACAAATAATTCTCGGGTTATTTATTAGTATACCGGTATATGAAAGTCGGAAAAGAATCACGATTGGAAGTAATAAAAGAGCCATTTTACCTCTTTCGCAATTGTCACAGATAGTTTTTTTTTTGGTTTTGTGTGTTGAAAGAATCAGAAGACTCAAGGGTTCCGGATTGATGTTTATTTGACGGCAACTTCACAATATAAACCTAACACAGCGTAAACAGAGGACATAACAAAACACAACCGACTTCCAGCCCGACGGCGGACAAAGAGATCGGAAGAAAAAGTTTTTCTTTTACGTCTAGTGAGTGGTCGATAGTCAAGATCCGATAAAAAACATTATTAAATAAGGGGCAACCCAAATGTTCATTAACATAAAAAAATATACCGTATTTCCAGGTGAATAAGTCACTTTTCTAGGCCCAAATTTGTGGCCTGATTTTGGGGGGTCGTCTCATTAGGCGAGTATGATAATTTTCAATTTTTTTCGGTGTCTCCTTATTATTCGATTATGACATTAGGATACCCTTGGCGATAGCATTCCCTGACGTGACTATGATATATGTATAATACCGTAATGTAAAATATATTTAATTCATTTTTTTAATATAAATTCACTCGGTGGGGTATTATCGCTGACCTAAGGTTTTTTCCTGTCGTGAAATCTTTGAAATAATGAGTGGCAGCATTGCGATAAAGAGGAATTCTTGCAGCAGCAGCTCAGATATGTTTTTAAATTGCAAAAATAGGAATTAAAACAACATATAATCGTACATGGTTATGTCCACGGATTGCGTTGGAAATTTGGAGCAGTGATACTATTTGTGTTGTTCTAATCACAGATTAAATTGATCACAATTAAATCAATGAAGCATCTTATTTGCCGGGAAATACGGTATATACACACAATATAAATACGGATACTTTAGTCCGTGACACAATATTACATTGCTATGCAATTACCTGGAAGGTTTTCTTAGTGTCGTCCCCATCAGTAACTTCAGCCATTTGGTCATAAGCGTCCAGCAATGCCAGAAGATTGTCCTCGCCAGCAAAAAACCAACTTCCCCCACTTTCGATAGAAAGATCTGCAAGTTCTTGGTTCTCAGAGATGTACACAAATAATGTTTGAATTACGATTTTCTAGAAAACAAAATATCATTTTTGGAGATTGGTAATTTTTTAGGACCAATTGAAAGCAATATTCTTATGACTTACCTTTGATTTAATGTCATCCGCGACATCTGCTATTAATATAGTTGATCCCGAAGTTTCCAAACCGTCGGTCATGACAAGCAACTGCCCAGCAGCAGCATTAGCGCCACCCGCTTCCAGCATCTGAATGTTGATAATAGTAAGCAAAGATAACTGATAAAAAAATAACACTACCTCCATTAATACCAGAGATTTTATACCAAGAATAGAAAAGGCAGTTAGGCCTAAAGTTTATAGATAAATAACTTCAATGCATGCATGTTTTTAAAAACTCTTCATTCTTCCATTGAAATGAGTCAAAAACAACGTAGTACGTTTATCAATTCTGTCACAGTAGACTACCAGTACCAGCTGTCATTCGTCCAAAATGCACAGTATATGACAAACCTGAATTCCCATTTTCAACCCACATCCGATGCAAGTGCAAACACTGCAGCTTTCTCCAACATTTTTAGGGAGTTTCCTCGCTAAATTTTCTCGGCTATTCAATGTTTCTACTTTAACTAATCCACTGTTGTTCCTTGCTGATCTGTCAAACTCTATAATGCCAACGTAGGATCCGGGAGGAGCTGAGTTGACTATGAAATAATTGGCCGCTTTCTGCATTTGATCAAAACGAGTCTGAAAACATGAATGCTTTACAAACAGGAAACAAATGCTAATAGTCATATGAATGCATCAAGAATTCACACCTCCCCCGATGTTCCATCAATTTCAGCCATGCTTCCCGAAACGTCGAGTACGAGAACAAATCGCTGGGAGGCTTGCGCGATTTTCACACTAAAAATTGGATCAACTTTGTTGGAAGCTTCAGTAGGTGGATTTTTATTTCCTTGAAAATCAACGGACTCTTCAATAACATCCCACACACTTCTTAGGCCGCATAACCGGTTCTGCTGGTTTGGCGCGTTCATATTATGATTAGTTTCATCACAAAATTCAACAATCTGAACATATGTATATATAATAATATTTGCAATCTACGGCAATATATATACTACAAAAAGACAACAGATAGAGTAAAATTCAAACACAAAATACCTCTTCGTGATATTGGTAAGACATCAAGGATGTATTGTATACTACATCTGAATTTCCTGGATAGCAAATACAGTCCTCTGTATAAAGCCCATTTTCAATTTGACAACTGGATCTACCCAATCTACATTCTTCGTCTGTGCTTTCAACACAACATACCCTGAAATCTTTTGGACACCTGTAACGAAAACAAGCTCATTCACTTCATTTGTATTGTTCTTTTTTAAATAACAACCTTTCTAAATATGGGAAGAATGTCGGCATGACCTTTGAAAGCAATTCACTAAATAACAAGGACTGCTGTCAGACTGAATTCTCTGTAAAAAGAGATGAAAAAAATCAAAAATACAGAAGCTAACTACGGCGCATGTTGTGGTCTTATGAAATGTTGTGGAGGTAATGAGAATAGTATCGTGTCGCTTCCCCAGTTTCATTACCGCTTTGGAAATTTGAGTTGGTATTCGACAAGGACCTTCAGCCCAGCGACAATTGGAAAGCGAAATAGTGGACGTAACGAAAAGGCAAAGAACGATGCGAATCATCGGGAACCCGTTCTGCCTAAGACAGGGAAATGGTAAGAAACATCATTAGAAATATTGTTGATACCATTACCATAGCAATAAAATATTAAGTAAGAGCTAATTTACACGAGTCATACGCATTGCCCCAAAAATGTAATGTAATACCGCAAGCTGCTATTCATTTTAGACTGGTCGCAACCGGGCCAAGATTCACTCATAAGGGCCGCACTCCGTCAGCAATATTTCGGCAGTTCTAACAGTTCTAAACTCGATTCTAGTAACGGATAAAATAATAAGATAAGAGCTCTTTTTCACGTTTTATGAATATCCTAAACAAAAATGGAATAATTTACTCGAATCAAATATGATATTATTTTTAAATATTTCGTCTTTATGTGTTTTTAAAGTTATTTGGATAATAACAAGACTTACTGCGTGGCTGAATTTAGCTTTTGGCCTGTGTTATCGTCAGATAAAGAATTTCCATCAACATCATCGTAAAAAGGGTTAACCTCCGATGTTTCATCAAAAACTCCCCATCTATAATGTGCCCATTCGTGAACAATTGCTTTGCCTAGAAATTCAATAAATATTATTCTTCGAAAGTGGGATTGCCCCCAGCATTATTCCCAAATGCTTTCTAACATATATGTTTCTGTAGGTAGAATATCATATATAAATAAGTCGATACACACACGCCAATAAAAGTTGTTACGTGATCAATATTTAGTGTGATGGATCCCTAGGTATAACCATCGATGCATAAGACTCGAGATGTACTGTGGAAATTTGTTTTGTCTCAACATAAAGATATGGAGAGGTGGGATGAATTTTAGTAAAATGAATGAGCAAACTTGTTTTAAAAATGCTAAAAAATTTAAATTCAAACCTCTCTTTCCAAAGTTCGTTACCATATGTTCGTCCAGAAAATAATTTGGTGTAAAATGAATATAAGAGCCGGGTGATCCACATCCTCCATATTGAAGAGTATAAGGGGCGTCTCCGTAGCTTGGATTTGGTTTGGCAATGATAACATCAGCCTGAGATAATATACTGGTTATTCTGTGATTGTAGGTAGGAAAATACACGGCTTATATAGCTATGACGCAAAATGGGTGGGTGGGCAACACATAATGATGGCAGAACTTCTCGTTTGTTGACAAAACGTCTACGGATATTATTATATATCAAAAGATAAGTGAAATCTGTCGTTTAAATTGATTTATTGAGTTTACCAGCTTTTTATGAAGGTTTCGCTTACTTTGTCATATGTTTCGCCGTCGGACACTGTTGCTGTTGTTTTATAATTGATCCAGTTGCTTGGTACAAGAATAGTTACTTCACCAATGTAAGCTCGTTGTTTTGTGGCGGTAAACAGAATATTTGACGCCTCTCTCCATGATTCCTGATGGTATCACAAAATAAGCAAGTATTTAGGATATTTTGTAAGGTGACACATGGGGAAATGTATTGCGCTTGCTTTCAAATTTACTTTGACATAGTATTTAGTCCAGTTAGTAATAGACTGTGTGATGAGATCTTTTTATCCGGCTTCGAGAGATGTTTGATACGGAAACGTTAGCGCTGACAAGCCTTATGTTATGCAGCTTTAGTTGAAATTTAGATAATCAATATAGATTTTGGAAATCGGAAAACCGGATCTCACTACAGGAAGTTGAAAATTTTGACTCCGACTATACAGTGAGTTGGAAACAGGGCTTCGGCAATGAGTAAAAGTATACGTCTAACTTCTTTTCCACAGCCATAGCTCGTCGAAAAACATAAGAAATGTGAGAGAAAATGATATATATAAATAAGTAGTTGGTACCTTATTAGGACCTCCTGAAGTATGCGCAGCAAAATGGCGCACAACCTGAACTCGGGTTGTGTACCAGGTTAGGTAGGGTTCAGGTTATGCGACATCTTGGTGCGCATACTTCAGGAGTAACCCTTATTATTCTAATTTCACCAAATCTTAACATTAAAGTTCACTGTATTGCTGAAAAAGTCAATGTTAACTGATGTACATACTTTGATGCTGTCTATAAGATCGTTGCTTTCAGGTACGTGTGGATTGATGGCGATTACTATTTCGTTATATTTATTGTCTTCCAAAATAACATTCGATTTCGAAATTTTAGCATCAGCGAAACATATCCAATTCAGCAGTAAATACAGGAGTATGCACGAAAAAGTCATTATCGGTTTACTGTATTTCTGTTTAAATAAATTCATTCTTTTCATAAATAGTTTACAGAAGGTTTCAAGTATTCACTCAACCATATAATATTAGATCAATAGCAAGTTATGCATCAAAATGGACCATTACAATTTTCACAATCGACATTATCTATAGTCTATACAACAAGATTCTAGAGTGTCGGTCTATTTCGGTATGGATATTCCCCCTATATATAGAGAACTGAAACTGTAAATCATATTTTAAAAGTACAGGATGAAACTTGTTTGCGAAACGTAATATCAAATATAATATCGAGAAACCTTTTTGTTTGCACATTGATAAAACACGATATGGGGAGTTAGAAATGCGAAGCACAAGTAAATAATAAATAAAATGTATTTGTTCAACTGATGATGGACGTTGGACGATGAAACCATAAAAATTGAAGCCAATTTTAGCGTACATCAAGAGAAGACACCAGCAATTTGATCATATGAAAGACCGAAAGAACTTTTATATTATTATTCAGCAAATATACTTTAAATCAGGGGTTCTCAACCTTTTTTTTGTTTAGTACCCCCCGAGTCACGAAACAATCAACGCGAACCCCCAGTAACCAGACACCAAACAAAGTTGTGATATATTGACTGACAATTTGCTGCAACGACAATTTATTGACTAACTGCTGTGACTAATTAAATGTTCGTGCCCTTGTCCTCCGCCTAACTAATGAATTCGATAAGCATATCACTTTCTGCAATGCTCGCAGCGCATTCTCTTTTGAGATTTCACAGTTTGGCTGCAAAGCCGTGCATTTCAAATTGTTGCGTCACAATCACAACTACGAAAGATCAGGGAAAATCTATGCTGAGTTTCAATTGGCACGCATCTTCCTCTGGTAGTTACTTAGTTTTACTCTGTTAAAAGATATTAAAAAAAGCAACACACAAGAACTATACTGACAACCAAGAACCCCTGGAAATGGGTTGAGAACCCATGCTTTATATAGAAGTAACCACGTGATTTCATTTTCGTGTCAACTTTACGACTGGGGATAATGGTTTTTGTGTGAATACATCGCTTTGTTCAAATTAAATTCTAGTTTGTTCACCTATTTATTTTTATGACTAATAAAGTCATCGTCGACCCAGAGACCCTCAAAGGTATAAAAAATATCTGTTTCCAAATACTTCAAAAAAAACTTTTTTTAATTTATATTTTCTATTCAAAATACACAAGGTAATGATTGCAATTTCAAACAAATTGTCAAATCGAATTTTATTGTTACCACTAAAAACGTCGGTATTTTCATGTTTAACTAAAAGAATAGTATCGAACATTTATTAAAAGTAGTTTATTATCTTTTCTCTTTGGTCACCCATATTTCGTAAGAAGTAAGCATCAATATCCTAGCATTCAGAAGATGCCGTGTCAACCGCTTATAACATGGTGCAATTCGACCAGGTACACGACATATCTCGTCTTCAATGGGTCAAATATTTGAGTGGTGTACAAATTACGTTTCGGTCTGCCGCTCAAGGGTCGCTCAGCAACGCTAACGCTATATTAAACGAGTCGGCGAAGTAAGTAATGGCAGTACAGTCAGATGGGTAATTGAACTCAAGCGTATGCGCAGTCTAATTGCTAAGAAAACCACCCGATTCCAGCTTTTAATTTGTGTTAACAACATTTTTTTCATCTCGAGTACAGGTTTAGAATCAATCATCATTTATTCGCCAACACAATCAATATAAATATATCACGGAAATATTGCAAGATATAAAGTAAATGAAAAGAGACGAATATCATATGTGTGACAGGAGTCGCGAGAGACTTCAAAAGGTCTTCGAGCAGCGACACCTACGATGCTGATTCAGCTTATTGAATAAATATAGTTAAAGCCTAGAAACGTCGATTTCGACTCCGGGTAACACAACTTGGGCCAAACTATTTTTTGTTAATGCATGTTGTTTAGCTTCAGTTCATATTTTGGTATCCTACTGTATATTTTTGGGTCATGTCAAATATATTTAACAATGTCTTGCACATATAGAAGTTTAAGCGCCACAATACGAAAAGCTTAAATCGTAGATTGCGGATCCGATTTTTCCTTCAGAGAAATACTAAACACAAGGCTCCACGCTTTTTTCCCAAACGAGCGTTACCCTAATATTTTATAAAATAAAATCACCAATAAATCAACAATGCATACATTTAAAAAAATAACTTGGAGTTAGATATGTATATTCTAATTTGTTTAAAGTATATAATCGTCTGAATATGTGTTCTTGTAAACGGCGTGCTCGTACATCTTACTTTGTCTAATTTCGCATAGCCAACACGAGAGTATAATCACTGCAGTTGCTAAAAACAAACAAAAATACTTTAGAAGGCATTTTCAGTATACAGTATGCTATGCAAAGAAGCTAACAATCAAAATCGTGTGATAGGCCTACTGACGAGTAAGACTATACGTGTCCAATCACACAATCCGCAGTAAATATTCCAGACTTCACTTGTTGGACGCACTTTATGGAACAAAATGGCGGAATATTTCACGACTATTTTTAGACCTTTTTCCATACTTTCAGAACATAATTTAAATTTGTACCCACCGAGGCTTGCCGTTAGTATCAGCAGCAAGGTTCCAATTCCAATATACAAATTTTGTCTATTTGTATTTGTTGTGGATGATAGAACCGAGCTTGTGACCACCATGGTTTTTGCGTCAGGAGATGTTGTTGAAATACTGTTTTGTCTATTTGTTGTGTATGACAGAACCGAGCTTGTGACCACCATGGTTTTTGCGTCAGGAGATGTTGTTGAAATACTGCTCGTGATTGTATCGTCGGTTAAATTAGCTGACGTACTCATGTAAGCTGCTGTAGAAGAACTTGCTGTGGTCGTTGGAACAGCAAAAACAGGTGGTTCAAAATAATAGTTTAAAATTGCTATATTTGATATTTCTCCAACGTTGCCAGATTCGTCAATAGCTTTCACTGCATAACCAAAGCTGCAGAGCAAAACATAAAAATGGAACTTTTTGATAATAACAATAAATCTATTTGCGCAACAATTTTTAAAATGAATGAATGAAAATACTTCACCTTGCACATCGCAACTCTTGTCTAAGTAAATTACGCGAAATTTATGGGCTATATTAATATCGGTAATATAATATTATCCAGCGTGATCACACCATTGTTTTTTGATGTTGCCACATTTTATCCTATTCAAATGAAGACTTTTCTGTATATTTATAATTTATGTTGAATTGTAGTTTCTGTTCATTTACTGTACTAATAATTTAACAGAATGCATCTCAACACAAACAATTACCTTACAGTCGTTACGTTTTCATCCCTAACATATGGTGTTTGAACTACAATGGTTTGGGTACTTCCCGCTTCTGAGGGATTAGAAATGTTTCCTTCAATGACGCTAGCATCGTCAATCTTCAGGCATGTTTCATAATTAGTCAGAAGCTCGTTGACATCCCCCATAATGTAACGAATATCATATTCTGATGCTATTTGAAATAAATAGAATTAAACGCTTTTCCTTGAAGTCTTTGCTGGGGCACGTATGGACGCCTTACATAGCGGGTATTAGCTAGGATTACACACGAAGTGCCTGGACGCGCAAGTTACACTCAAATACACTGGTTTCATTATATTTGAACCCACGAAAATTGCATCTGCATACAATTGCACCTTTATTCCGATATTTGAACCCATACTAACCATAACCCATGGATTTTGGCACCATCATATAGATTAAACCCGCGGATATACAGGTGCAAATGTATGGGTTCAAATGTACGTGGGTTCAAATGTACGTTCACCAAATACACTACATATATTGGTATTCCAATTCTTTATATTAGAATTAGATAATGTTATTTATACGAGATACTTGGGATACGGTAGGCGTCTTGTCTGCTGGAACTAGGCCTTCGTGCAACTAGGCAATATACCTTTTCCGCTGTCAAAATCGTCTCCTGGCGATGTGAAAACGAGCACAACACCTTGTGTGTAATCGTTAAAATTTTTCTGAGTTGCTTTCAAATCCATCACTTTACTGGGAGCCGATACGTCAGTGTGTGACCCTCCACTGTAAAACGAGTCATTCATAAAAATGCAATGATAGCGTAGAGACGTGGTGAGTTTCATAACCGAAATTTATTTATAGCAGTGCGAAGACGCTGATTATGTATATAATATTTCATATCTACCTATTTTAAATGGAGAGTTAAAAGAATACAAAAAGTAGTTACTGTGAATTTGTGACACGAGACATAATTTTTATAAAACTTACGAAGCCACGCAAAATTTTATCATGTTGTGTATTCTATTCATAATCATGACAAAATATTATTAATATTTTAAAGGTAAATTGATACACTCCTACCCAGAAGTCGGAACGTAATCAAAAGATCCAGCTGAAATCTGACGAGTAAAATTTCCCAATGATTCCGCTGATATACCAAACGTTGTATTTTTTGGCAGCAATGTTGGTCCATTAGGATTTGGAATAATCGTTCCTTTAATAAAATAAAGAATTCAAACAAATTCAAATGACGAACAAATGCAAATATTTTTTTTAAATATTACCGTTTTCATTTACGTATCCTGGATTATAGGCTGCTGTAGAGAGTCTTACCACACTAGAAGTGTCGTATCCCAGAAAATCGGATTGTACCTTTACCTGTTTGATGAGAAGATATTTAGAAAACAAAATAAAACGTTCAAATATATCATATTAGAATACCTTAACTGAATATTTTCCCGTGTACGAAAATCCCGTCAAGAACCTTGAATATATTCCATCATTTATACGCACATCCGGCTCTAAAGTAAAAATTCAGTTTCAATGAGTAGTTCTGCCTACGAAGGCAATTAAATAAATATAATTACGTACCTGCACCACGATCCCAAAGTTGAATGGGGGAGCTATTTTCACCGTCAGGCTTCACAACAGTTGCTATTACTGTTGCTCCTAGTACCGGATTCAAACCTTGCGAAACCTTACAAAATCGTACATTTCATGTTACCGGCATTGTAAATTTGAAGTTTGTGAATGAGTTTCCGTAATTAGTGCTTCTTACAATACAAGTTAATCAATATTTTGTAAAATCTCTGATATTTGGAGGAATGGAGGAATTTGGGAATGGAGGAATGGGGAAGGAATTGGGGAATTTGTCAGTGGTCTGATATAGATTAAATTAATTGTCACTAATAATGGTCACTTTAACAGTGCTCCTGATCCACTAGTCTTCGTATTTACCGCCCCAATGCGCCCTCACAAACCCCGATTTCGTGCGACCAAGAAAAGTACCGGTAACCAATATCGTTCCTACCTTTGCATAAACAAGCGGTTGGCCTCGTTCAAAGCTCAAGATTGACTCAACAATGATCGGTTCTACTTCATCGCTTGCAGCCATTGATGTCACTACAACTGTTATTGTCTGAGAATTGCTATCTGGCTTTTGTACATAACTTGCCCACGTTCCATACTGCAAAGAAATCGATGACTTGTTAGTACTCCTATGGAATGAGATTTACAGCTAGGCTATCAGTATTAGTAAAGAATTCAAACAACCCTTGCTGTTACTTTACAAATATTATCCTTACCGCTGTGTTGTCGAGTCCGAATCTTAACGTTTTATAATCCACGTTGATAGAATGTACATCTGGACAAGGATTCGCAGTCATAGATTTATCGTTGGTGTAAAAGCAATTTCCATAGGGTGGAGTCAGCAAAACGCTTGGAGCAATATCGCCGTACGACCATGTATATGTGAAAACAGTGTTTTTCCCAATAGTTTCATCTATTATAATATTGTTTATAAAACTGCTGTCACTGCTTTCTAATCTGCAGGACTCACTGAGAATCTGGAAACAAATAATTCTCGGGTTACTTATTGGACACGAAGTGGACATAACGATCGTTTCAAAATTTTGTTGTTATTGTTATTGGACACGTTTAGTGGCCATAACGATCGTTTCAAAATTTTGTTGTTATTGTTATTGTTGTTATTGTTATTTGTCTCCGTCTCCATTTTTAAAAAATCGCTTTTCTCTTCGAATACTGGACCAATTGCTTTGATATTTTCAGTGGTTAAAGATAAAATTTTTCTTCAGAAAGCTATTATTTTTTTTCTTGCTATGACGTCATCAAAATTATTGCCACTGGGTGGCGCTACGTGTCCATATATTTGAGCATAGCTCCCTTGTTGTTATTTGTCTCCGTCTCCATTTTTAAAAAATCGCTTTTCTCTTCGAATACTGGACCAATTGCTTTGAAATTTTCAGTGGTTAAAGATAAAATTTTTCTCCAGAAGGCTATTACTTTTTTTTCTCGCTATGACGTCATCAAAATTATTCCCACTGGGTGGCGCTACGTGTCCATATATTTGAGCATAGCTCTCTTGTTAGTATATATGAAAGTGGGAAAAGAATCACGATTGAATGTAATAAAAGAGTCATTTTACCTCTTTCGCAATTGTCACAGATAGTTTTTTTTGTTGGTTCTGTGTGTTGAAAGAATCAGAAGACTCAAGAGTTCCGAATTGATTGTTTATTTGACGGCAACTTCACAATATAAACCTAACATAGCGTAAACAGAGTACTCAACAAAACACAACCGACCTCCAGCCCGACGGCCGGACAAAGAGGTCGAAAGACACAGTTTTTCTCTTACGACTAGTGAGTGGTCGGAGTCCAGATCCGATAAAAAACATTATTGAATAAGGGTCAACCCAACTGTTTATAAACATAAAAAATACTGTATACCGTATTTCCCTGCGAATAAGTCGCTTTTCTAGACCCAAATTTTTGGCCCGATTTTGGGGGAGTCGTCTTATTAGGCGAGTATGATAATTTTTAATTTTTTTTGGTGTCTCCTGATTATTCAATTACGACCTTAAAATACCTTCGCCGATAGCACCCCCTGACCCGACTATATGATATATGTATAATACCGTAATGTAAAGTATATTTAATTAATTCATTTGTATAACATAAATTTAACTCGGTGGGGTATTATCGCTGACTTGAGTTTTTTCCTGTCATGAAGAATAATGAGGGGCAGCATTGCGATAAAGCGGACTTGTTGCAGCTGCAGCTCAGATATGTTTTTAAATTGCAAAAATAGGAATCAAAACAACATATAATCGTACATGTTAATTCCATGAATGGCGTTGGAAATTTGGAGCAGTGTTACTATTTATGTTTTTCCAATCACAAATTAAATTGATCACAATTAAATCAATGAAGCAACAAATTTCGTTTCGTGGAGATTTCCAGGTGATGAATATGTATGTTTCATATATACACTTTACATGTATATTTATTTATAAAAATTAAAAAATATAATTAAGTATATATATAGTGTGTCCCAACATTATTATGTCCGCAGATTGCTGTGTTATTTTAGATCGACAATGTTCTTATATACGTTGAACACAATTAGATTGAAATTGAAGGACAGTTCGAATACCAGTAGTTGCTATGTATTGAATATGACACTATAAGAAAAAGTCATAATAGGCTATTTTAACCAATGCGCAAACGCGGCCACCGCCCAAAAGCCTTCGCATGGTAATTTGAGATTCCGATGTTGATGAGGTTTTACCACTCGTCTTATTGGCAGGTTATATGCTAAAAACCATTTTTTTCAGGCTTAAAAACGGGCCTCGTCTTATTTGCCGGGAAATACGGTATATACACACAATATAAACACGGAC